AAGCATATGGGCTGCAGAAGTGAGCACCAGCCACAACATTGCAACATTTTAAAAGGGCAACATTGCAAATATCCAGGAATTTGTGCATCGACAGCCCCAGGGCTGGCAGCGTCAGCCAGCCACAGTGTGGCCTTCCAGGGGGAGAGGCCCTTGGACAGAGCTGAAGCTAAAGTCACAGAAATGAGACTGGTGACCCCAAGGACAGTCAGAACAGGACGACTTTATGCTCTGCAGCTTTGCCTAGGGAGAAGCAGAACCACGAGACCCCTGAGTTGGCAAAAGCATAAAGCCCTGCCTGCCCACAGCTGTGGCTTCCTGCTTGTCTCTGCTGAGAATCCTCTCAAGGCCACTTGCAAACTCTTCATCTCCTTTGCTCTTATGTGGATGTCTTTTTCTACAGAAAACCTGAAGTTTTGATGGCTGCTTGCTAGAAGGTTAGAAGGAATCCCGCTTTGCTCCACAATGGTGGACGACACGTTTCTTGTCCTGAGTTTGACGGTGCTGGGGGACAGAGACCCTGGGAGTCCTCACTGCCCGTTGACTACGGTCTTGAGTGCAGCCGCTGAGTGTTATCAGTCAGCTTTCCACTGCTAAGATAAAGTACCTGACATTCATGACTTAAAGGAGCAGAGCAGAGGTGTACTTGGCTCTCAGTTTCCGTCTACAGTCAACTGTGAAAATCAGGGCAGAAAGGCGAGGCAGAGCAAAGCCACTCACTTCCTGGTGGCCAGCTGCAGAGAACACAGGGAAGGGACAGGGAGGAAGGGGCCAGGGGACACAGGGTGTCCCTGAGGTCCCACCCCATGGCTTACCTTCTCCAACCAGGCCCCCCATCCCATGCAGGTTAGGGCCCTCACAATACGGTCATCTCTCCAGGAGACTTTAATCCAAGCAAATTTCTCAGCGTGGTGGCACAAGCCTGTAATCCCAGCACTCCCAGTGCCTAGCCTGGGCAACTTAGTGAGGATGAGGTGGGGAGAGAAGAGGAAGCAGAGGAAGAAGAGGAAGAGGAAGAAAAAAAAAAGATTAACGGGCACAGTGAGAGCGAACTAGACAGGTAAGGGGAGATAAGCTCATGGCCGGAGGAAACAATGGGGTGAGAAACCATTCCAATGATCAGGAGAGGGCCACTGTCCAATGGCTGACCACCAGGAAGGCTTGCCGTGCCCTGGACAATGTAATACAGGCTGCAAAAACGATCTCACTTACTACAGACCTTTGGGATCCTAAGTGGAGTCCACTTCTCCACCTTTAAATCTGACACTGACCAACAGAACACGGCAGACACAGTCTCCAGAAGCACCGTGTGTCTCTGCGTACTCTCCTGGAATCCACCACCCCGGCCCTGCAGACAACCCTGAGCCAGCCTGCAGTAGGATGAGACATATGTGACCCAGTTTCCCCCTACACCACAGAATTACCTCTCAGCTTTCAGGTGACCACAGAATCATGAAGAAAGCTGGCCAAGAACAGAACCTCCCAGCTCCAGCCCTGATTCTCCCCCTCCCATATCAGGGATGGAACTCAGGACCTTGCCCTTGTGAAGCAGGCACGGTGTCACTGAACTAAACCCCTGGCCCATCGTTTTATTTATTTATTTTTTTTTTTAGAGGGTCTCACTATGTAGTTCAGGCTGGCCTTGAACTCGCTGGCCTCAAACAGCAATCCTCTTGCCTCAGCCGCCCAAGGGCTGGGATTACAGGTGTGTGCCACCACACCTGGCCACCCAGACCAGATTCTTAACACACAGAATCAAACTAAATAAATGGCTACTTTGAACCATGCTTTGGGTGGTTTGTTACACAGCATTGCCCGTGCTAACAACTAACTAGTGCAAGAAGTGATTCATCTGCTCTGAGTTTGACTTCTGTGGAGAAGTCAGGCAGGGAGCATAAGATTCTGACCCCATCTGGGTGTGGGATGGGGTGGTGACTGGAAGCAAACACTTTTCTTTCAAATAAAAAGGCAGATTCATGTTTCTCTGCTCATATATTATTTTTTCTATGTAGAGACACGATTTTTCAGTAAACATTTACAACACTGAGAAAAGAGGGCACTCCACAGACAGAAGGACTCGCACACATTCAACTCCAAGACCCACGGACATACACAAGGGACAGAGGTCTGCAAAAGCACAGTACACGGGATAAATACACATCACTGCAAACCACAACCACGCACCCTCTCAGAACACCACACGGGAAGGCAGAGAGGAGATCTTGTGCTATACTCTGAGACTGAGATGTTACAAAAATAAATAAGAATCAGGAGGCCTGAGCCCCGGTCATGCTAAAATAACATCCTCTGTAGTCTACAGCTGAATGGCGAATAAAGTTTATCTGACTGGCCTTTCTCCTGTCTTGGGGTCAGGCAGAGGTGGGACTCCAGTGGCACGGCAGCTGTCTCCGCCCTTTCCTGTCCCCAAGGACTACAGCAGCCTCGAGTCTCCCTCGGGGCTCATGGAGCTCGCCCGGGGAGCAAGGGCCATGGGGCCACACAGTCCATTCTGTCCCTCTGGGCAGAGGGTACGGTTCAGATGCAGTGGGAGGAGCAGCTGCAGGGCAGGGGTTCTGCCCAGACCAGGACTGAAAGATGCCCTCTGCCAGTGCTCTAATCCCCGTTGTCTGTCTCCTCCCTGTCCAAACCCTGGTGCCCACTCTGACCATTCTCTGAGCAGAAGTGGGCGTGGACTGGCTCACTCGGGGTCCACCTGGGGACTGGTGGCCCTTGGCGTGAAGGGAACAATTCCTAGACCCAGCCATGGCAGCAGTGTCAGAGCAGCAGATGTTTCCCAGGGAAAACACTTGCCAACACCACCTGGAGGACCCCACCTAGTTTTTCCTCCTCTGTCCTGAGTGAGCAAAGGTGCTTACAGAAAAGCCCAGGGGTAGCCACCAACGTGCACCTCCCCAGCTCCTGGTATCGGTCAGGAAGCGAGGTCTTCCCTCGGAAGTGAGGCCCGGCCTCAGCTCCAGGCAGGACCTCAAGTGTTTCAGACTATCTTATGTGTACAGTCTCAGGTTCCGCTTTAAATTCGGGAAGGTGCTTTTCTTTGTTGTTGCTGTTTTCTGAAACAAGGTCTCACTATGTAGTACAGGCTGGACTTGAACTCACTATGAAGCTCAGGCTGGCCTTGAACTCTGAGATCCTCCTGCTTTGGCCTCCCAAGTGCTGGGATTACAAGCATGCGCCACCACGCCTGGCTGGAAGCTGCTTTTCTTGAAAAGAAAAGAAATTATCTCTTGGCGTTAGACAAAGGAAGAAAACTGAGAAAATACAGACACTGGGATCCTGGGATCCAGCAGAGGTTTGTGAAGGAATCGGAGTCTTTTCTAAATCGGGGAGGCTGCACGATGGAGGGGAGCTTCATAAAGAGAAGTGGGCTGGCAATGTCTGGAGACGTGAGGTTGTCACACCCGGGGTGAGGCAGGGGAGGTGCTACTGGGATCCGGTAGGTGGAAGCCAGGGTCTGCTCGCCATCCTCCAGGGCACAGGAGAACCCTACCACAAGCATTCGCTGGCTTTGAATGTCGGCACTGCTGAGGGTGACAGCCCTGCTCAAAGCCAGTCTTGCAGGCATGCTCTAGAACTCCCAAGGCCCTTTTCAGGGGAAAAAGGGAGTCCCAGAGACCTGACACCAACTTCCTGAAGAGTAGCCTCCCCCAGTCTCATCAGAAAAGATGAGGACCAGAAGGAGGAAGAGAACAGTGGGGAGGAAGACACTTCCTCACCCACCTGCCACCTCGGCCTGCGAGGGAGAATCCCAGGCTTGGGCGATCTTTGGTCAAACGGGAAAATGTAAGGCCGAACTGAAGGGCCCACCCCCTGACCCCGCCTGCCCAAGGCCAAGGTCAGGGTTCCCTCTCTCTTCCACACTCCTGGGCAGACATCAGGATTTCACACCAGGCTGGGCTGGCACAAGGGATGAGGGCAGGAGGACAGTGGCTGGTGATGGGTGGCGTGGTCAGGGCACAGCGTGGTCACTTGTTCTCGATCAGCGTCTGCACTTTGTACACCAGGTCCCGGGCGAGCTTCAGGATTTGCTTCGTGTTGTGCCGCTCAGCCATTTCTGTAAGAGCACAGAGGAAACCTCATGAGCACCATTTTTGTCAGCCCTCTGGACATCCCTATCACAGACTGGGAGAAGGCCCGACCCCTAGGATTCCCTGTCTGTGAAATGGGTATCGTAACAGTAACCACCACTCAAGGTTACGTACGACGGAGATCAAATATGATGTTGGTTCAGTGTGTGCTTTAAAAAGTCAGCTCTTTTCCCTCTTCTCCCATGAGAATGATCAGGAACCCTTCAGAAGACCAAAGCCAGGCACATGCAGTCGCTTACATATTTTATGGAAATGAAGGAAGGGACAGAAGGAAGGAAGAGAGGAAAGGGGAAGGAAAGAGAAAAGCAAGATGGTGTGGTGGTGCACACCTGAATCCCAGCACTTTGGGAGGCTGAGGCAGGAGGACTGCCACAAGTTCAAGGCCAGCCTGGGCTACATAGTAAGTTCAGGGCCAACTTGAACAATAAAGCCTCAAAAAAACCAAAAAAGTCTCAAGTCTCAAAACCAAAAAAGGGCCAGGGATTTAGCTCAGTGGTGCCACCGCGTGACTTGAAAGCACAAGGTCCTGAGTTCAATCCCTGGTACCAGAAAAAAAAAAAAGAGAGAGAGCAAGAGAAAGAAGCAAAATTAATTTTACCAAGAGCCACACAAAACAGTTTCATTTTCAAATCCCTGGGAAGAAAAAAAAAAAAGAGAGAGAGCAAGAGAAAGAAGCAAAATTAATTTTACCAAGAGCCACACAAAACAGTTTCATTTTCAAACCTTTAAATACAACTGAATGGTCCTAAATTTAGACAGGCATCCACTTATACACTTATTTTTGCAGTACTGGGGAGTGAACAATGGGCTCTTGCACCAAACTACATTACCAGCTCTCTTTAAATTTTAAAAATCTGTGATGGGCTTGTCAACTTGCTAAGTTGCCCAGGCTGGACTCAGACCCGTAATCTTCCCTCTTCAGCCACTCAAAGTGCTGACACTGGAGACATGCGCCTTATTCCTGGCTCCTATAGTCTGACATTTATTATAAACCATTTAATAAAGGAAGAAGGTACTAATTTCATGATTCCCAAACCAGGTGCCAAGGTACCCCCCAGAGTTTCACAGTGAACTTACTGAGGCCTTGTGGTTAGGAATTTGGAGAACCACAGTGATACCCTACATCTGTTGAGCACTACATAAACTAATTTGTACTATATTCCTGTTCACGGCTTTGTATACCTGCAAAGCTAGGTTTTTTTTTTAGTACCAGGAATCGAACTCAGGACCTTCTATTTGTGAGGCAGGTGGTGGAACCACTGAGCTAAATCCCTGGTCCCAAAGCTAGGTTTTCAGTGGTTGCTGTAATAAAAAGTAAGAATCACATAAAAGTCATGGAGGGACAGGGTATGAAGGGAAGTGCAGCAGGGGTACAAGGCAGGGGGCTGCACACAGTCCAACAAGCACGCAGATCCATAAAGAGTCACTGCACTTCTAAAAAATGAAAAATTTTTCTTTTAAAAAATTCTTTGTTTTGGGGTGGCACAGGTGATTTAAATTCGGTCTGCACTGAGCTACATGCCCAGCTTTTATCTATTTATTTTAAATTTTGGGGTCAACGTCTCACTAAGTTGCTTAGGCTGGGCTTGAACTTGTGACCCTCCTGCCTCAGTCTCCAGAATGCTGGGATCACAGGTCTGCACCACCACACTTGGCTTTTTCTTTCAGTTTATGGTGTATCTTTTTTTCAAATGGCTATTAAATTGTTAGGACATAAAAACTTATCATCTGGAACTACCTACTTACTAAATGTAGCTTTGGCCTAGGACCCTGTGAACATTTTAGAGAGATGCCAGGGTGCCTGGACAGAAAAGGCTAGGGAATCCCTCACTAATTGTGGATTCCTTTGGGTGTTTCAATCCTGTCTCCACCTGGGTGCTCCATGATAAGGGTTGATTCAGTGACTTATAAGAGAGTCATTGGAGGAATAGTCTGCAGTCTTAAAAAGTGATTATTATGGGAGATGATTTTTTAAATCATTTTAATATTAAGTGGGGAAAACACGCAATGGGACTCTGATGGCAAAAACATAAAAATGCATGTGATTATGGAAAAGCCTGGTGGATTACCTTTCTTGTACCAGGGACCGGCCCAGCAGCCCTCCACTACTGAGCGATACACTACACCATCAGCCTTCTTTGAGGCAGGGTCTTGTAGAAATGCTTAGGCCTCAAATTTGCTTCCTGCCGCAGACTCCCAAGTAGCTAGTATTATGGGCGTGTGCCCTACTCCTGGCTGACCATATTTTCTTTTAATGAGCTAATTACATGCAATGAGGTTTTTCTAACTCATCCCTGGAGCAGAAGAACATTTCTGACAAACCAGGTGAAATCCAAATAAAGCCTATAATCTAGTAAATAGTAACACCCCAATATTAATCTGTTTTGACAGATGTGCTAGGATCATGTAAAATATTAACAGTAATTTAAACTAGGCAAAGGGTATCAAGAACTGTCTGGAGCTATTTTTGCAATTATTTTGTAAATCTAAAAAAATTCTAAAACCAAAATTTTAGTAGATGAGTAAAATCCAAAACTATCCCTATAATATTATCCTCCTAATAAAAAGTATGTTTAAATAAAACTGAAATAATGTTCCAAAGGTAAAGTCACAGCTGCCCTTTTTTTCTTTGTGTTATTTCTAAAGCCTTTAGTTTTTATTTTTAAATACTGGCAACAATAGCAATAGATTTCATTTATATGGGCCAGCTACCAGGTGACAAGACCTGCCCACGCCATGCCCTTTAATCCTAAGAACTTCCCTGCAAGAGAGGGGTGTCTGCACCTGTCCCTTAAGTCTCTGGGACCCATGGACACGAAATCACTTGGATAAGGCCACACAGCACTCAAGGGACAGGAAACTGAGGTCAGATTCCACAGCTATCTGATTTCAGGGGCTGGGCTTTTTCCTGGCCACCTGGAACACCACCGTACGCCTGATTTTCCCAAGCCCCTCAATCATCTGGAACAGATGCTGCTCCCCCATTTCACAATGAGGACAAGGATGCTTAGGGTAGGGGAAGTGCCTGGCCCATGTGCACAGCCAGACTTTGTCTCTGAGCTGGATTCCAACACTCATTCTCTCCCTGCCAGATTCCTGAGAAAAATACCTCCTCACAACTACAGGACATCAACTCATCCTTCTGGAAATAGTTATAGAAGTGGGTAGAAGCCCGCTCTGCCTCCTCCTCCATGCTCCCATCTTGGCACATCTCGGTCCCTCCCCCTTCCCCATGAAACCCTAGGCCTCAAGTACCATTAAAGAATTTGATGATGTCCGTGAAGTCCATGTTGTTCTCCAGAATGATATCGCGATAGACTTCCACCAGGGCCAGGGCGATGAACAGCACATAGTGGGCCGATGACACGTGTTTGGCCGCCCAGATGGTCTCCCAGACGGAGAAGACGTCATCATAGATGAGTTCTACCAAGACACCAACATGCAGGTACATGGGGAGGTCAGTGACAGTCATGGTGCTACCCTCCCCTGAGAGAACCCCTCTGGGAATATCCCAGGCCAGGAGAACTTGGTCTCTGTGCCCTAGTGCAGCGGACAGAACCAGGCCAGGAGGCAGGAGGCCTGTACACTGTAACTTCCCCCTCAAAGCCTCCGTTTCCCCAGCTATAGAATGGGCTGTGTAAACCTGGTGGTTTCCAACTTCCTTCAACCAGCTGTGTCACCCCGTGAGTGGTGACTGACATGTGCAGGTTTCAGAAACTGACACGGATCTGCTCCTGACCTGGCCCTTGACTAATTAATTCCTCCATCTGCACTGGCATCCCGTGGGGTGTCTCCCTCACCCCACCCACCCACAGGCAGAGATGCCTGCTGCCTCTGAGTCCAGGAGAGAGACAGAAGAGCACAGTGGATAAGACAGAGGCTTCCCATGTCCAGTAACCTCCAGTAACCTGGCTTTACTGGCTCTGTCACAGCTAGCTGGGGGCCTTCGGCTCATTACTTCTCCAGGAAGCTCTTTCTTCTTAATCTGTATGTAGGGTGACACTGGTAGTAACGAAGGACCAGACATAAAACAAGGAAGTGGCTCAGCGCAGCGCATCACACTTAATACGTAAACATCCCTGCACATTAGTTATCATGATGTTAGCAGGCTCCAAGAGTGCACCCTACCAATGTACTCAGCGATGACATTACTTCTAGGTCATGTTAAAAATATGTGTGAAATAACTCCTTTTTTGGGGGTACCAGGGATTGGACTTAGGACCTTGCATTTGCAAGGCAGGCACAGCACCACTGAGCTAAATCCCTGTCCCTACTTTTCGTTTGGTTCCAGGGATCGAACTCAGACCTTGCACTTGCAAGGCAGGTGGTGGAACCACTGAGCCAAATCCCCAGCCCCTAAATAACTTAACTCCACAGGCTTTAGACTTTCTTGCTTTGCTAAGCAGCCTAAGGGAACGGAAGGGAGCTTAGCTTGGAGGTACACAGAGGTGAGCTCTGATCCTCACTCCACTATTCTTAGCTATGAACTGGATTTTTCTCAGCTTAGTTTTCTCACCTGTAAAGAGAGGATCTTTGTTAAATTTTAATTAAAAAATGCTTTTTGAGGCAGGGTCTCCTTACACAGTCCAGGCTAGCCATGTACTCACTATGTAGCACAAGCTGGCTTCAAACTCAGGATCCTCCTGCCCCAGTGTCCTCAATGCTAGGTTACAGGCCTGCGTCTGCCTGGTCGACGGCAGTGGGGATCCCACAGCCCCTCCACACAGTGTCACCCCAAGATAAGGCAGCGCACCAACAGTCGGAACTTGGTGCCTTTGCTCCAGCCTCATTCCCACCCTATCTCCTCTTCTGAGATTCTGCCACAAGCATCTGGGGACGAGGCCCCAGTCTGCAGTGTGTACCTCGCTTGAAGTCCAGCAGGAACCAGCGGTAGCAGAAGTAGAAGTGGGTGTAGTCCCCATTCTGATGCATCAGCTCAAAGAGCTCCGAGTCTAGGATCTGACAGAAGCAAAGGGTTGCATCAGCATCCTCGGAAAGGGCTGGACCAGAGGGCAGAGCTGAAACGATGATGGTGGGTGCCGCACTGCACAGACAGCCCTCAACAACCAGGAGGGGTTCAAAGTGGGCAAAGGGTACAACAGACATTTCTCCAAAGAGCATTACAAATGGCTCATAAGCACACGAAAGACGTCAGACACCATTAACCATTAGAGAAGTACAAATCAAAACATAACACCACTAACTTGGTTAAAATAAAAACGACAGACAGAACAAGTGTTGAGGATGTGGAGAAACCTGAGCCCTCAGACACTGAAAAGCAAAATGGTGTGGCTGCTGTGGAAAACAGTTTGGCAGTTTAACAAAACACAAATACAAAGCCACTGTATGATTGAGCAGGTCCATGCCTGGGTGCATTCCCAAGAGAAATGAGAATTATGTTCATGAAAAAATGTGGACAAAAATGTGGAAAGCAGCACTATTCAAAAGAGCCAAATGGAAACACCTCAAATGTGTATCGGTGGGTGAATGAATGAATGAAAAGTGGTATATCCACAACGGAGTACCACTCCCTAATAAAAATGAAATTGTGGCATGTGTTCTGATGTGGATGCACCTTGAAAACATGAAGTGAAGGAAGCCAGTCACAGACAGCTACATAGTATATGATTCCATTTATGAGAAATGCTTAGAAAAGGTAAATCCACAGGAGTGAAAAAACTGGGTCTGGGGAAAGGGAGAGGGTGGGGAGGGACTATTACGGGTCAACAGTTTCTGTGTGGAGTAATGAAAATGTTCTGAAACCACCGATGGTCCTGTGACAGTGAATACAATAAAGCCACCAAGCTGGACACTACAAGGGCACTTTTTTTTGTTTTGTTTTTGGTACCAGGAATCGAACTCAGGTCCGCGGAACCACTGAGCTAAATCCCCGAACAAGGGTACATTTTTTGGTTATCTGAAGTATATCTCAACAAAATTGTTATTAAAAAGACTGACAGGAGAATAACATCTGCAGCTGTGAGGTATGGTGTTCAAAAAAGTGGGATAGGGTGGGTGCTGGGTGTGGTGGTGCAGGCCTGTCATCCCAGTGCTCTGGGAAGCTGAGGCAGGAGGATCACAAATTCAAGGCCAGCCTGGGCAACTTAAGAGACACTTAAGAGACAACTTAAAGAGTCTCAAAATAAAAAAATACAAAAGGGCTCAGAATGCAGCTCAGTACAAAGGCCGTGAGTTCAAAGCCCAGTATCACAAAGGGGTTTGGAGGTAGGACACAGGTTTGAAACAGTATGCACAGAAAGAAAAGTGTGTACGGTATGATTCTAATTATGGAAAAACATGCATATAAAATGGGCAAAATATATGAACAGGCAATTCATAGAAAACAATCCAAGTGTATCAAAAGAAAATAAAAAGGTATTAATTTTAACTATCAAGAAATGCATGGGGCTGAGGATTTAGCTCAGTGGTGCCTCCACCTGACTTGCAAGCACAAGGTCCTGAGTTTGATCCCCCGTACAAAAAAAAAAAGCATGGTACTGCCAAAGAAACAAACCTGGGGATCAGTGGAATAGTAGAACACGCAGGAACAAATCCAGACGTACTCAGCCACCTCATCTCTGACAAAGGAGCCAACCACCCTCACTGGAGGAAAGATGGCCTCTTTCGTAAATGGTGCTGGAGGGGCCAGGGATTTTGCTTAATGGTTCTGCTGCCTGCCTCAGAAGCACAAGGTCCTGAGTTCAATCCCCATTACCAAAAGTAAATAAATAAGGCGCTGGAAAAACTGGATTTCAACCTATCATAGATTAAAACTATACCCATATCTTTCACCATGCACTAAACTAAAATCGAAGTGGATCAAAGATCCAAAGATAGAAACAGAAACACTAAAGTTGCTGGAAGATAGGTTAGGTAGAAGTTGTAAAGACATTGTCATAGGAAAATACTTTATGAACAAAACATCAGTAGCATAAGAACTAGCACAAAGAATCAACAACTGGGATCTCATTCTATTAAAAAGCTTCTGCACTACAAGAGAAACCACCAACAGAGCTAAAAGTCAACCTACAATGTGGGAAAAAATTTTTACTAACTGTTCCTTAGACAAAGGACTACTATCTAGAATGTATAAAGAACGTAAAAAAATCAGACCCCCCCCAATTTAAAGACCCAATCCAAAAATGGGCATCTGAAATGAACACACATCTCTCAGACAAAGAAGGAAAAGCATCAAATAAACATATGAAAAAATGTTCCACATCACTGGTCATTTGAGAGATGCAGATGAAAACAACACTGAGATTCAACCTCACCCCAGAAAGAACAGCTACTATCAAGAAATAAACCAATAACAATCACTGGTGGGGTTGTGAGGAAAAAGGACCCCTTCTTCGTCATTGGTGGGAGTGCAGACTGGTGCAACCACTGCGGAGATCAATATGGAGATAACTCAAAAAAATTGCATTAGAGGTCCCACTTGACCCAGCTATTCCACCGCTGGGTATCTTCCCAAAAGAATTAAAAGAACCATACCACAGTGATAAATGTGCACCCATGTTTATAGTGGCACAGTTTGGAATAGTTAAAATTTGGAAAGCCTAATTGTCCATCAACTGGAGACTGGATAAAGATATGTGTGTGTGTGTGTGTGTGTGTGTGTGTGTGTGTGTGTGTTTTAATAAAATGGAGTACTACTCAGCTATAAAGAATGAGAAAATATAGATTCATTTCTAGCTAAATAGATGCAGGCCGAGGTGATAGTCTTAAGTGAAATAAATAGGGCACTCATAGGGTTAGGGATTTAGCTCAGTGGCACCATGCCTGAAACAGGAAGAAAAGGTCTAAAGGTGGAAAAGAAGTGGGGAATAGGAGAAAGTAAAGAAGAGAAAGAAAAAATATGAGAAAAGCAAAAAATGGAAGCAAAGTCAGTGTAAACAGGGAGGGATGAAGGGGTTGGAGGATAGGGGAATGGGGAAAAAAATAAGAACCAAGATAGATTATGTAAAGGTATAATAGCCAATGATGAATATCATTGTATTGTATACCTAAAATGTACCAATAAACTTTTTAAAAAAGCAAGTAAAAATCACGTGCTCTGATCACATGCAAGAGCCTGGAAGAAATTCAGAAGTGTGACAGCAAGTGAGGATGGACTGTCTGGAAAACCTTTACACACTGCTCTTAAGCATAGAATTGATACAGCCAATTTGGAGGTGGTGCAGCCACATTTTGTGAAGCTGAAGGTGCACACATCCCCAACCCCGCAGGCGAACTCCGTGCACTCAGGCAAAGATCTCGCACGGGTGCATGAGGACATGGACAGGTGCACAGGAACTTCCATTTGAAAAGGTCAGAAACAAAGCCCCAAATTCTTCAAAGCAAAAGAGGTGGAAACAACTTAAATGTCCCTCAATAGGAAAATGGATATAAATAAAATGAGAACACAGTGAGAACACACAATGGAAGAAAGACTATGTGTACTCCAGGGAAAAAGGAAGGAAATGTACTATTGTTCAGAAGGGTCTCAAGCCTGACAGCAAGCTTGAAGAAAAGCTGCAGGACTCACAGCATTTAAAACTACTTCTGTAAAGTGGGGAAGCCTGGGAAACAAAACTGTAAGTTGTTTAGGAATGTAGCGGAAGGGTTTTCTGAATACAGGACAATGATAAACATCACATTCTAGAAAGTGGTTTCTATGGTGACTATTCACAGGCAACAAAGAATTAAAACCTTGCAGCAGTAAAAATCCCCCTTTAAAGCAACCCTGCACCAAGTCCTAAGATAACGCACTAACACTGACCAAAACCAGCATGAAATAAAAATAAACCTTTCTCCCTGTGAGGCTAAAGTGAACAAATTTGTCAAATTGCAAGCTGATGCAAAACTTTAGATATAATGCATATGTTCCTGAAAGATTAACAAGAACAGATGTCCTGGAAAATGGGTTTCTGAGATACCAATTTTTATAAACTGATACATTCCCACATCTTCAGTTCCTTATAAAACCGTCATCTGTCACCATCCAAGACTCCTCTCTTGGAAACTCACCCACTGTCTCTCTGGACACTGCATTCTAATCTGAATAAACTCTTATCTTTCTTATATTCCGTGACTTTGGTTTTTTTTTTGAGACCTGGTCTTGCTATTGTAGTTTACGCTGGCCTTGAACTCATGGTGATCCTCTTACATCAGCCTCTCGAGTGCAGGGGTTACAGGTGTGCACCACCATGCCTGCTGGTGAATTCTTTTACCAGCCTTGTCCCTCCCTAGGCCTCCACATCCACCTTCTGGCATGAAAATTCCCATTGGGAAGACAGATGTGGGGACATGGAATTAACAATGGGTATATGAGATTTGCAAATCTATGCTTAAAGCTTTATTTCTTGGGTAAGTGAGGTGAAAACATGATATCCAAAATATTTTGTAGTATTTTTTAAACTCTACAAAAGAAATCTACTGCTGTGTCTCCACTGTTGGTATAGATAATGTATCTTTTATCATTTATGTGGGTTAATATGCTTCCACTCCTTCTATTCAAAGGGAAGGACGTCTCAATTCTCCTGGGTAGTAGATATACTCATCACGACAAGTGCTGAAAGAGCTAGTTTTTATCACAGCACTTCTCAAACTCAAGTTTGCTTCAGAGTCACCTGGAGAGCTTCCACCAAAGGAGAAACAGGCTTCTGGGCTAAATGCCTTGAGACTCTGATTCAGGAGGAAAGACAGTAGCAACCTGCATTTTCTTCTTCTATTTTTTTGGTGGTACTGGAAATGAAACCTAGGGCTTCCACACTGAGCTACATGCCCACTTGATGGACTGTCTTGGGGTGGTCCACCACTGAGCTACATCCCAGCCCCATAACCACGTCCCCAGGCTGGGCTCTAACTTGTGATCTTCCTGTCAGTTTCCCAGAGTGGTGGGATTATAGGAATGCTACCTTGACAAGCTTAAATTGCATTTCTAATAAAGTATCAGGTGGGGCTACTGTTGCTGACTCATGGATTAGACTCTGAGAGGCACTGGCAGGCACTGTGTTCAACACTATGAACACATCAGTTTTAGCCCATAACCATAGTAACTTATCGAGAATCATATACATGGGAAAGTGATCTACTTTCCAGATGAGGAAACTGAGACCCAGAGAAATACACCTGAGGTTATCCAGCTAGCATGTAGCAGAAACAGTACTCAAACTTAGGGTGGCTTCACACCACTCCATCTTAAGCTAGTTAATTCAGCCAATCACTTATTTCCCAAAGGAGTCGGAAGACTAGATACCCAGTCGTACCTGGATCAGGGACCTCATGTTGGCAAAGTGCGTGTCCATGGCGCCCCCATGGGGGAAGTTCTGGTTCATCCTCTTCATGAGCTCCGTGAAGCAACTGAAGGCCAGGGCCTCTGGGGAAACAGCATAGGACAGTCAGCTGTCACTGCCAGTGGGACCTGAGCTTCCAAGGGCATGGGTCTAGGGCCCAGAGCTGGCACACAAAATCCACAGCCAGGCTGGGGATGGAGCTCAGTGGTTCCGCCGCCTGCCTCACAAGTGCAAGGTCCTGAGTTCGATCCCTGGTAAAAAACAAAACAAAACAAAAAACCCCACAGCCAAAGGAGAAACATGTGACCAAGTGGATTCTATTCAGATGTTCTCCAATCTGAATTACGTACTTCTCACCTTAGGGGGGTTGGAATATTTTCTTTCAGGAAAACATGCTGAATTTATTTATTTATTTATTTATTTGTTTGTTTGTTTGTTTGTTTGGTTTTTTGAGACAGGGTCTTGCTATGGAGTTCAGGCTGGCCTCAAATTCGTGGCAATCCTCCTGCCTCAGCCTCCCAAGGGCTGAGCCACCAAGCCTGGCTCAGATGCTCTTTTTAAAAGACCCCACCATGTTATACAAGAAAAAGTTGACAGTGTTTTATTGGTTCCAAACTTTTCTTCTTTTTCAAAAAAAAGGTTCATGAAAACTGGTTCATGAAATTCTCAAGTCTAAGAGCCACTGTATTCAAATGGTAATTGCCAATATTAGAATTAGAAGGGCTTTTGCAACATGTAAAGAAAGGATAAAATTACTTTGAAAACATTATGTAGTGTATCTGCTGCTTAAAGTATCTATGCTTACAAATATTAAGAAAATAAAGGTACTGAGAAGACCTGCAATAAAAGAACCCGTTTCAAAAACTGACTTGAAAATGGTAGTTTTCTTTTTCTCTTATCAGTTAACAGCTTCAGGGGAGCTGCACTAGACTATTAGTTTTTCCAAGGGCTATACTCAGCCTGCCCCAACCCTAGGCCATTTTAAAAAAATAAATATTTTATTTTGAAGCCGGGTGTGGTGATACACACCTATAATCCCAGCACTCAGGAGGCTGAGGCAGGAGGGTCACTGTGAATTTGAGGCCAGCCTGGGCTACATAGTGAGTTCAAGGTCAGCCTGAACAACATAATGAGACCCTATGTCAAATAACCAAAAAATGGCTGGGGACTTAGCTCAGTGGCACTGGGCATCTGCCACGCAAGCACAAGGTCGAGTTCGATCTCTGGCTCAAACAAAAAGAAGAAGAAGAAGAAAAAACACCAACAAATATTTTTTGTTGGTATTTTTTGAGACTATTACATAGTTCCCAAGACTTGACCCTGTGACCCTCCTGCCTCGGGCCCCCAGAGTGCTGGGAATACAAGCATGTATCTCCTTTATTTTTTAAAAAAATTTATTTATTTTTTTAAGACAGGGTCTCACTTATAGTTGAGACTGATCTGGAACTCACTATGCAGCCCAGGCTGGTCTCAAACTCACAGTGATCCTCCTGCCTCAGCCTCCCAAGTGCTGGGATTACAGGTGTGTGCCACCAAGCCCAACTACCTCCTTTATTTTAAAGACTATTTGGCTGAGGTAGTGTTTGTCACAGTGCTTCTCTACTGGTAAGCTTCTCTCACCTCCCTCCCTTCCACTCTATCTTTTTTGGAAGGAAGTCACTATGTGAAGCCCATCGCTAAAATGCAGGGAGTCAGTTACACTCCTCATTTTCTAACAGTCTCATTTAGATCTGCAACCCACAGCATTCACCCTTTCTGAAGTAGAAGCTGGTGGTTTCAGTACTCACGACGTTCCATGACCAGTACCACCATTTCCTTCCGGAACACTTCTTCACCCCCAAAGGAAACTCACATAGTAGGCATAGGCAGCCCCCATTTTCCTCCCCCTGGTTGAGAGGCTTCAGCAGACCAGCAGTCTGTGTCACCCTCCAGTTACTTCTGTCTCCTTGGATTCGCTTATTCCTGAATTCCCTCATTAAGGAAATCATACGGTATGTATGTGGTCTTTCCTGTCTTCTGTTAGCACATTTCAAGGTTTATCCACAGTGTAGCAAGAATCAGAACATCATTCTTTCTTCTGCCAAACAATATTCCATTGTAGAGATATTTCACAACTTTGCTTATGCATTCTTTGGTTGACAGACACTGGATTGCTTTTCACTTTTGGACTGTTAGAAATAACGCTGTGTGTGTCTTCAGTTCTCTTAGGCATATACTTATGGATGGAATTGCTGGGTTCCATGGCAGCTCTACATTTCAGATTAACTATTGGCCTGTTTTCCAAAGTGGCCAAGTCATTTTATAATTCCACCAGAAATGCGTGCAGCCATCACTTTCCCCACATTCTCACCAGTATTTGCTATTTTCCATTGCTTAGACGTTGGCCACCTCAGTGCACGTGAAGCATGTCTCGTTTTGGTTGTGGCCACTCTTGTCTGTTTCATTCCATTGAGAAATGTCTACTTAAATCTTACACCCACTGTAAATTTATTTACCTTTTTATTGTTGAGTTCCTCACATATTTGGGTTTAAGTCCCTTACCATGAGACTTGTAAATATTTTCTTCCATTCTTATGGCTCTTTTCACTTTCATGACCGAGCCCTTTAAAGCACAAGTTTTAATTTTGATGAAATCCAATTTTCCTATTTTTTTCTCTCATCAGTTATATTCCCATGCTGTATCAGAAACCACTGCTTAACCCAAGGTCACAAAGATTTACTCCTGTGTTTTCTAAAGAGTTAAACAATTCTTCTTATATTAAGTCTATGACCCATTTCAAGTTGGCTCCTCGTTGTGTTACAAGGCAAAGGTCTCACTTCAGTCTTCTGCACATGGGTATCTAGCTGTCCCAGCACCGTTATATTGAAAAGACGATTTTTTCCTCACTGTGCTTAACTTTCTTGGCAGCCTTGTCAAAATCAGTTGACCATTAACACAGAGGCTTATTTCTGGATCTGCAAGTCTAGTCCATTGATGTATACAATCCCTGTGTGAGTAGTTTTTGATTATTGTGTCTGTTCTGGTTACTGTATGGCTTTGATTTTGTAATAGATTTTGAAATTGGGAATTTTCCTGTTTCAAAATGGTTTTGGTTACGTTCAAACCCTTGAATTTCCATGTCACTTTTTAAGATCAATTTATCGATTTCTGCAAACAAGGCAGATGAGAATTTTGAAATGTAATGCACTGAATCTATCAATCAATTTGGAGAAGACATGAACACTAGCTAGTCCTAAAATCCACGAACATGAGATTTCTTTCCATTTACTTAGGTTTTCTTTAAATTTTTTCTACATGTTTTCTACATGTTTCTACAAGTTTGTAATTTTTCAATCTACAAATCTTGCACTATTTATATTTTATTCTTTGAGATACTACAGTAAATGGAACTTTTCCTAATTTTGATTTTAGGATTATTCCAGTGCACAGAAATACAAGACTTTTGTGTACTGATCTTAATGCTCTGTAACCTTGATTAACTCAATTTTTTTTATTCTTAGGTTTTCTATATGTAAAGTCATGTCACCTGTGAGTAGAGAGTTTTACTTCGATTCCAATTATTTTCTTTTCTTTCTCAATTGTCCCTGCTTGAACTTACAGAGGCAAAAATAGACATACATTTTCCTTGTTCCTGATCTTAGGGAAAGTGCATAACATTTCACCACTGAATACATTATTTGTGGGTTTTTCTTTTTGGTGCTGGGGATGGAACTCTGGTCCTTGTGCTTGTGAAGCAGGTAAGGGCACCACTGAGCTAAATCCCCCGCCCATTTGTGGGTTTTTCATAAATTCCGCTACCATATTAAGTTCCTTCTGCTCCTAGTTTGTCAAGTGTTTGTATCATGAAGGCATTAGATTCTGTTATGCTTTTCTATGTCAACTGAGATGACATTTTTGGCCAGTTACTGTACTACTTTGATTTTAGCAGTACATGCTTGTAGTAGTACATAATGATTACAATCTTTGTGGGGAGCTGGCACATGTACATAATACCTCTTAATTCTATGTATTGTCCCCTATCTCTCCTCTCCTCCTTCCCATTTCTTGATTCCCTTCCCCACTGAGAAAGATCTCCTACTTTTTATTTTGCTCTTTATATATACTTGAGTTTCTCATGTAACAGAAACCATACAATATTAACTAAGCTCATGCGTCTGATTTATTTCAGCTAACATTTTGGTCTGAAGGTGCATCCATGCCCTACAAACCTGGATGGTCTCAGTGTGTAACCCTCTGTATAGCTTGCTGAATTCAGTTTGTTGGTATTTTGTTGAGGTCCTTCCCCATTTATATTCAGGATGCCTACTGGTCTGCAGCCCGTCTGGTACCTGTACCAGGGTAACAGTAAGAAACTCACCTTACACGAAGGCTGGCCTCACAGAATGAGGTGGGAAGCATCCTCTCATTTTCTTTCTTATTTATATATTTGTTTTGTGATGCTAGGGATTGGAAGAGTTTATGAAGAATGCACATCGAACCTTCCTAAATGTTAGGTAGAACTCATAAGCAATGTCATCGGGCTTGGGATTTTCTTTGTTCTCGTTTACATTTGTATAATCAGTGGCTAGCGGTGGCTAGCGAGGCCTGGCTGTGTCTGAATGTTGGGTACTATGGTACCTAAGGGCTCTCTAGCTCTCTGGGGGAGACAGATCTTCTGAGTGCCTCTTCTGGCTCGTATCGGGCAGCCACAAAGTGAGAATGACTCTCTTCCATGTAGTTGAAAGGACAGTGTACTCTCAGCCCTGGGGAGGGAAGATACACTCACCATCATCCAGAATGACCAGCAGGGGAGCCAGAAGGTCGCACATGCCCTGCACATAGCCGATCTCAATGTGCTGCCAGATGTAGCTGTGCGAGACACAAGGGAGCTCAGAGATGGATGGCACCACCAACCCGCCTTCCAACCCATTCCTCCTTCCCCAGTTAGGGCCCCAACCTTCACCTGGCCCACTCCCTCAACCCGATGCCCACATCCTAGATGGAGCCACCAGCGTGACTCAGAAACCTGCACCAGCTTCCTGCCATCAGGTGGAGACGGCCAAGCAGTCTCCTCATACTCCTCTTCGCAGCCTCACACGTCTCTGCCTACTGCTGCTCCCCTCCAGGCACATGCGGTGTTCACGTATGTGCGCTTCTGTGCACGCGCTGCCAGCACTCCCTACTCCGGAATTTGGCCAACCTCTGGCTAACGATGCCTTCTATTTAATGAGCACTTACTGTATAAGCAGCCCATTGTACATATATATTTTAACTTCAAAATAATCATATGAAACAGGTATTATCTATGATCACAAGTGAGGAAAGTGAGGCACTGAGGTAAATTACAGGACTGAAGTCATGCTTAGGAGGAGCAGAGGCAGTATGAGAACCCAGAAGACCTTCCTGGAGAGCATATAACCTTAAACTCTACATTAAATGGCGGTTTTTCTTAAATTTGTCAAAGTCTACCTGGAAAGTCATCACCTCTGTGAGACCTTTTGTGATTTCTCCTACGTCCAAACAAGCAAAAGTCAGCCCACCCTTCCTTCCCCTCAGCACTTTTTTCACTTTAAGCGTGACATTTATCATATTATGGTTTAAAACATTAAAAAGTATTCTTATATAATGCACAATGCATTCACGCTGTATTACACAGTACAATCCATGCTGCATGGAGAGCAAGTATTCACACAGAGAACTACACACTAAGTTCCCGACTTACGAACTCCGAGTTGCGAACATTCTCAGGTGTGCTACGCAAGACTCACTTTGTCAGCCTACCAACCAATCCCACTTATGGATGAACAATTCTCCCACCACAGAACTTGTCTATAAGTGAGGGAGTTACTGTACAGCTGTGGAAAATATTCGCTGAATTGTCAGCAGTCATTATTTCTGGGTGAGCAGCACTAATGGACGCAGATGAAGTAAATTTCTCTATGTTATGGACTTCAGATTTCCTGGATTTAGTGGGGTGGGGGCTGAGGATTTGACCCAGAGCCTTCACACTGAACTGAAACCCACCCTTTATTTTTCATGTGAGACAGAACCTCCTTAAATTACTAAGTTGCCCAAGCTGGACTGACTTGCAATATCCTGCCTAAGTCTCCCGGAGTGCTAGGACTGCAAGGTACACCACCACACCTAGTCTGATTTGGATTTTTGGGGGGTACCGGGGATTGAACTCAGGATCTTGTGCTTGTAAAGCAGGTGGAGGAAGCACTGAGATAAATCCCTGTCCTGATTTAGATTTTTAATACTTGTGATTACGTTCATATTTTAAGAAAAGCTAAAAATGGTTGTTAGCGAACAGTATTAAGTAGTCTTCGATCTTGACCTAAGGAAAGAGAGGATAGGTTCCAGAGCCAGAGAGACATGGCTGTGAGGTCCTGCCCAGCCGGCACCTGAGGAGTGTGATTCCAAGTCTCCATATCCTCAGCTCCTTCACAGAGTGGAAGACTAAGTGACTGATGACAGCACAGGGCTCAGGACAGCGCCTCGTGTACAGTACGTGCTTAGTAACCGTTCTTTATTCCTGTTATTTAATCGGCAGTGGGTGCTACAGTAAGTTTCACGTGGGCTCCCCACAGCCCACCTTGCTCACGCCAGCCATCCCCTTCCCCGGGTTCCCCAGCCCCAGCCACCTGCACATGATATTGCGCAGCTTCTCCAGGTTGGCAGGTGTGAAGTACCAGTAGTTGCGATCACATCTCTGCACATCCTTCTCGATGCGGTGCAGATTAACGGTGTACAGGTCCAAGAGCTCGGGCTACAAGTGCACAGGAGGGCGAGAAAGAAAAACTATACTTAAACTCCCCTCTCGGGGACAGGTCCTCTCTCCTCCGACTAGCTCTTTCCTGGGGACGGTGAAAAAATCATCTCACACCGAGACCAGTTAAGTGTTTGATTTTGTTTGCTTATTTGTGTATTTTCTGGGAAAGCCTTTTCCTGTGAATGATGCAATTTTTTTCTTTCTAAAATAAAACATTCTCATAAGGTACATAAATTATCCCCATTTTTAAGATAACAAAACTGAGACTAATGGTTACCAGTGTAGCTGGAAGTTCCTCTCTGCAGAAAACTGGACAAGAAGGATGAAGGAATTGAACTGAAGTCCAATTCCAGCTCTGCATTAGACGAGACACCTTGACCAGTAATCCCAACGAATGGCCCAATGATAGACAAAGAAAGTAAGAAACATTTCAGGGCCAAAAACAAACCCAGAAAAGTGAGAAAATACCAAATTTGGCTTTTGCCTTGAAGGAAGCTGCTAAACCAAGAAAACTTATGCTTACATTAATTGTTTGTGCCCCTTGCCAAGTGAAGAGTCTAAGAGACCTTTCCCAAGCAAAGTACAACCCAAGGTAAGGAAAAAAAAAAAAGCAACTCTAATATTCTGGGGCCCCAACATATTTGAGTTCACCTTGAACACAGGTGCCAAATTAAATGTAGAAGATAGCTCCCTGGATAAGTAAAAGCTACAAATCAGGCTCATGATTCAGACAGGTTATAATCCAAATTTCCACCCTCTGGGTGGCCTGAAAGAAAGTGTAGTCTAAAGTCATCTCAAATTTGCTATACCCCTGGGCTAGGATGAACAAAAGAAAGGCCATCTAGTTAGACAGTGAAACAGGTAAAATCTGTGAAAAATGAGCCCGTGTTTAAAAAAAACACAATCACAAAATATTTGGAGAAAGAAGGCTATAAATGACAGCATAATTATAAAAAGATAGAGTTTCGATCATGAGGACCTCTGTTATTAGAAGTACTAGGGGCAGAATATAAAGTAATTGTTATATTTAAAGAAATCAAAGGCATTAAAGACCTAGAGTTTATAAAACAATCAGGCTGGTCACTCTATAGTATAGTTGGGGGAAAAAAGCCAAATTAAAATTTAAAAAACATATTAAACACTCATCATACAGGCAGTAGAAAATTACTCTTTCTTCTCCTGCAGTGCTGGGTGCTGGGGATGGGATCCAGGACCTCATTCATGCTAGGCAAGTACTCTACCCCTGAACTACTCTCCCAGCCTGAAAATCAGACACTGTCGAAAGAATCAGTACACTGAAAAGACATTTGAAGAAACTATCCAGGATTCAGCAGAGAGACAAAGAAATGAGAAAATGAAAGAGAAATAATATACATGGAGGGAGCGTGAGAAAGTCTAACAAATATTTAATCAGAGCTACAGATAGAGAAAATACAGAAGGAGCAACATCTGTGCAAATAAATAAGAAAGCACTTTCTAGAGCTGACCAAAGACACCAATTTGCAGAGAGGTGAAGCCCAACAAACCACTGGCCTGGAAATCCGTATTTAGATACATGACACACAATACCAAACACAGACTCCTGAAATAGCCAAAGAGAAAAGGGAGTTATCTTCAAAAGCTCTATTCCTTCTCAATGGCAAAAATGGAATTTGGAAGAACGAACAGTATTTTCATCTGTATGCTCCCTGACCTACCACAGGTTACAGCCTGGTAAACTCCTTTCAAGGAGAAAATACTGTAGAAATAAGTAGAAAATGTGGTGAACACACCTAATCTACCAAATAAACAACTCAGGCTTAGCTACCTTAGCACAGTGCAGCATCAGCTGACCTTCCTCGTGATCGGGGCTGACTGGATGCCATGACCACGACCACCGCACACCGTCACGAGAGGACCACACGGCACAGCTCTAGCCCAGGAAACGATCCAAATGCAAATTCTGAAGCATGGTTTCTACTGAAAGTATACTGCCTTTGACCAGTGTAAAGTTGGAAAAGTCATATATTATTGTAAGTGGGGGACCATCTGTGCTGAGAAAAAATAACTGCAATCCAAAGTTGCATATCTGGTAAAAATATCTTTCAGGGCCAGGAATTTAGTTCAGTGGCTCTGCACCTGCCTTGCAAGCACAAGGGCCTGAGTTTGATCCCCAGTACCAAAATAAAACAAAAACAAACAAACTTTCGGGATAGGAGAAATAAATACCACTCAAGATAAACCCAAGTGGAGAGATACTGTGCTACAGAATGTACCAGTGTCCCAGATGAAGAGGTCTACCAGGTAAGAAGGGGTGAAAAGCAAATGTGGATGCCACTGAGGTCTGTGCTCCACCTGACAAGGAAACAAACTAAGAAGCAGGAAAGCATGAGACCTTTGAGAAAGGAGTGAATGGAAGCCAGAGAGGAAGGGAAAGGCCATGGACACCAAGTGCGCATCGGGTGCAGGGGGACTGTTCTCTCTTGGGGGGAGCTCTTTAGACACACAGAGTGAACAGAAAGCCTGATGCAACTGGGTTCGAGGAGAGATTTAGAGAACTGGCAAAGAATCTGTAGTAGTAAATTGATAAGTATGCAGCAAACTAAGAAAAAGGAACAAACAAGAAAACGAAAATACATCCAAGAAAAGCAATACTACTGTTTTGGAGGAAAGACAAAAATAAAAGCAATGTACTACATGGCTGAGACATTATAGTGTTATAATTGTGTCAGTGCTGAATAATCATTTAAAGAATGATTGTCACTCTCCAGAGAGATAAAAATGGCCCAGGGACCTTTGTGAGGTGGTGGAGGGAATAGGAGCTAAATCCTTCCCATCCATAGTGGGAAATCTACTGATAAATTTTAAGACTGAAAGAAAAAAAAAAGATCAAGAAGTAGCAATACAAGAATGTTTAAATGGGCCGGGGATTTGGCTCAGTGGTTCTGCTGCCTGATTGCAAGCACAAGGGCCTGAGTTTGATCTCTGGTAACAAACACACACACACACACACACACACACACACACACAACACACACAAAGAATGTTTAAGGGCAGGATAAGTAGTATGATTGCTTCTGGGGAACGAAATTCGTTCCTTCTCCCTCCCTGGAGATAGGTTCTTGCAACATTACTCAGGTTGGACTAGAGCTCCTGAGCTTCTCAACAGCCAGAACTAAAACTACTTATCACTGTGCTCAGCTTGACATCTGGTTTTTATATCTGGCTTTCTGCAGCAGGTTACTATTAAATTAAAGGCTTGTCAATCTTTGATAGAAATAAGTTCTTTAAAAGAAAATGGATACTCGGTGTCTGGCTCAGAAAACCTTCCCTTTTAGTTGATATCCTCTGGCTTTGACTTTGTGGCAAGAAACCAAATTCAAATACTTAAAAGATATTTGACCTGAGTCCAAACCCTGATATGTATCATCCAGATTGCCACCAACCCCAGTGCTTATTATATGACAAACACATAGGAGGGCAGCGTGTTAATTCTGAAAGTAACGAGGGAAGGAAGGTACTAGACTGACAGTGACGCTGAGACATGCAAAGATTAAAGTGATGTGCTGAAGTTGGAATCTGAACCCCACTGAACCTCACTGCAAAGCCTGTGTTTGTGGTTTTGAGACAGTGCCATCCTAGGTAGCCCGGGCTGGCTTTGAACTTAAGAGTTTCCTGCCTCAGTTTCCTGGGAGCTAGGATTCCAAATGTGTGTCACCATGCCTGGCTGAGACTACTCTTTTAAATAGTCTCCCTATTGAGTATCCCTTATCTGAAATGCTTGAGACCAGGAGCACTTGATTATTTTGGGGTTTTGAAATACGTGCATATATACCATGAGATATTCTTGGGGTTACGATCTGAGTCTAAACACAAAACACATCGATGTTCATAAACACCTTATACACATAGCCTGAAGGTAATTTTATACAATACACTAAATACTTCTGTGCATTTTGGCTGTAACACACCACAGGAGGCCAGGTGTGACACTTTCCATTTGCAGTGCTTATTTAGGGGCTCAAAAAGTTTCACACTTCGGAGCACTTTGTTTTTGTTTTGAGATGGGTCTTGCTATTTGCCTAGGCTGGCCTCGAACCCACAGACCCAACTGAACCTCCTGCTTCAGCTGTCGGAATGGCTGAGATGACAGGTGTAGGTCACTGTGTTCAGACTGGAGCATTTCAGAGTTTGGATTTTAGATTTTGGATTAGAGATGCTCAACCTGTATTATCCTCTCTCCCAAACTGGTTTCTAGAGTGACTCCCCCATGACAGACAAAATGGAACAAACCACTGCTGTCACTGCTGGGTCATTTTGGATAAATGAGGCTGTGCTACATCCCTAGCCGCCCCCCCAAGCTGGAGGTAGGAGAGACGGGGGGGGAGAGAGACAGAGACAGAGAGAGAGAGAGAGAGAGAGAGAGAGAGAGAGACAGAGAGAGAGAGTGAGTGAGTCCGGGTAACTTACAGAGTAGGTGACGCCACTGGAAGAGATGGGGGACGCCTCGCTGTTGGCAGAAGTGCTCACGGCCAGAGAAGCCAGAGCAGGGAAGAGACTCTCCATCTCCGGCTCCTCTGACAGGCTGTCCTCACTGCCCACCTGGCTGCGCTTTTCCGCCTCCCCACTTTGCCAGCCCTCCACTGTGGCACCGTCCTTTTGAGACAGGGCCACGTCCATGCTGCCAGTGACGGACATGAACTCGTCCATGCTTCCGCTGGCCACAAGGTCGCTCTCCAGGCTGTCCTGCACGGCGAGCTCCTCCTGGGGCGCTTCCTCCCGGGAAGTGGTGGCCTCACTGCTCTGCCCGTCCTCCACGCTGCTGCCCCCAGGTCGAAGCACAGGAGGGATGGTCCGCTGGGCATCCAAGACGCTGTCTTCTGTGCTCAGACTGGGCTCCGAGTGCTCTGAGAGGCCAGAGGAGAAGTTGTGGGAAGAAGGATGACCAGAATCTGGGGAGCAAGTGCCATCTGCCAGGTTCCCATTAGGGATCTTGGGCTGTTTCTCCTCCAACCTGCCTTCTCCTTCTGCTTGCTCAACCTCATCCACGGACTCAAACACCTGTGGACAAGGCACACGAAGACAGATGGGCTAGGGTGTGCACGGCAGCACATGTGGCAACAACCTAAATATCCAACCGCAGGACAGGTTTGAGGGTGGAACACGCATGCAGGGCACGCCACACCTCCGGGGAGAAAGGTGAGGCGGAGAAGGGGTCTGAGTGCTCGTACAGGCCGAGAATGGCTCAGAACGAAGCAGGACAGCACCGAGGCGGACTCTAAGGAAGAGTGTGCCGGCAGAGTAAGCTCCTCATATAAACTTGCACTAGGTGCACATAAAGTCAATGTAAGAAACAGGCTAAAAAATGTATCATGTCCATGTGCTGAGCTATTACAGATCAACTTTCGAAACCAGTTAGCTATATAGGAAACACCACAGAAGGGGCTCCAGATACATCTTAGAGACTTACTATTTGTAGTTCTTTGTCCTTAGCCCAGATCCCTTCAGCTGGGTTTACAGTCAGTCTCATGTGTTTTGTTTTGTATCTGTGCAGTAGGAAGCACGAAATCCAGAGCTTTCATGTGCCAGGCAAGTGCTCCACGACTGAGCTACACTCCCAGTCTGTATCTGTGTTTTTAAGTACTTCTATTTGACTGATTTATACATGATTTTTTTTCTAATCCCAGAGTAAAAATCAGATTTTGTACTTCAAAGCATTTCCCTTTTGACACAAAAACTGATGCACTTTGCACATTTTTACACTTTATTTTTCTCTTCAGTATAAAAGAATTATCTCTTCACTGAGTAAAATGGAAAACTGCTGGAACACATACACATCATGGCGTTTACGCAGAAATTTTTAAAAAGCACTAACTGCTGTTACCTATTATCTAATACTCTGTGTATGTGAAGCCACACGGAAGGTGCTAAAAGGGTACAGCAGACTGCTGAAAGTGGTGTTATTTCAAAGCAGAGCACGTGAGGTGAAGGGAGAGAGAAGTCTGCTTAGCTTTCTCTGCAATGTTTTTATCATTTGATGGGGAGAATAGATTCAGAGTTGGGCTGACTGTACTGTACTGCTAAAAAACCCACTTTTCATGCTAGCACTGAAAGCTAAAACACATAAACTGAAAGTGACCAGGAGAAGACAGACGCTCAGTTCGCACCACCCGAGGTGGGACGGGGCCTCTGGAAGTCACCTGTGTGCTGCTGCTGGAGTCACTCTGCAGGCGGAGGTTCTGGCGGCCGGAACTGCAGCTCTGGGAAGACTGAGAGAAAAGGGAGCTGGAGGGAGAGTGGGTGAGGCTGCTCCCACCCTGCTCAGGAGGGAAAGCTGGGCTGCAGGCCGGCTTTACTCGGGGCTGGGACAGGTCCCCTCCGAGGGTCTCAGCTTCCTAGTCGTCGAACGAAAGGAAGAAGAGACCACTCCTGCACCCAGGGGCCTCCTCAGGGTGACTCTGGCCTGTGGGTCCCTACTTCCTATCTGTGGCAACTAGAGCACTCCACCCTTAATGGCTGCGTTAAACTGCAGACTTCTGACTGATAAGTTACTTTCACTCAGAGTAACTGCTTCTGTCTACTGACTCAACATTTTACCCACTCCCTGTATTCAAGCCTTCCGTCCTCCAATTCCATGGTGTCTACCCACCCTAAGGCAAGGCTCGGTCCTGTAGGGTGTTTTGGTCACTGGATTGATGGAGCAGAGACTTATAATACTTGTGCACTTCTGCTTTCTCTCACTGGCACCTGCTCTCACCATGACAGCAGGCCGCTGGAGGGCGAGACACACCGAGCAGAGCCAAGGCCCCCAGAAAGGTGGATAGCACAGTCAACATGAACAGCTTTGTAGGTGACAGCCACTGACAGCTGGCATCAGCCCAACTTGGAGCAGAGGTACACGGTTCACCCACAGACTCAGGGGCAAAAATACCGAGCATGGTGTGGATAGATGGAAACCCCTGCCTTTGGGTGGTTTTTATTTTGCAGTCTGGCCGAGGCAACTGAGGATGACACAACCCTGTGAGAAGAGTGAATGGTTCTGAGGTCCTGCTGTGTGCTGGTCAGCTGAGGTCTGTGAGCCCAGAAGTGTCTGCTTGGCTGCCAGCACCTTCTTTCAGTACCTGCTATTCTTTAGGCACTCAGGAAGCCTCTATCGATACTCTGTTGTCTTGGTATCTGACACAGAAAGGCCAACCAAAATAGTTTAGATTTTTGGCTGGGGATTTAGCTCCGTGGTTCTGCCGCCTGCCTCACAAGCGCACCTGAGTTCAATCCTCAGTACAAACAAAAAAAGGTTAAATTTTTAAAAATTACAGTAAAAGATTGCTTTGAATCCCCTCAAAGTACTCTGCCTCACTTTGAACACACTTATGTATCCTTTTATTCATGAAGCAGTTGTGGAATTCTATTGTGTCTTTACAAGATATGATTAAAAATGTGCTGAATGCTGCTGCTGAGTGCCATCCAACGGAAAGGCAGGATCATAAAGACGTTAGGGTGTTTCTTCAGACACCATATGTTATACATCTGGCACTGTAAGGTTTCTGGCTCTTCCCCAAAGTAAAAATAACAATGAAAGGGCCGGGGATTTAGCTCAGTGGCACCGCGCCTGCCTCATAAGTGCAAGGCCCTCGGTTCCATCCTCATACCAAAAAAAAAAAAAAAAAAAAAAAAAAAAAAAAAAAAAAAAGACTATGAAAGGTAGATGTTTTGAATTGACTTGGGGACACTGAGGTGGCCAAGACTGTGCAACCAAAGACACTTACAAACGATGACTCTGTCTCAGAGTGGCAAGCGTGACAGGGTGTGTTCAAAGCAACGGGGGATATTCGGAGGGGATAAGGAAATGTGTCTCTTACTGTAGTAAAATCTTTACTACACCTTCACTATATGTTCTGATTGTGCCTTGTACACTATCTGGTTTGAGCTGTACACAAACTCCTCTCCATTTGACTGTCCCTGTCCTGTGGATGCAGAAATGCCCAGAAGAGAAGATGCTTGCAGGAGATCCCAGAGCTAGTGCTGGAATTTAAACCCAAATGTGATTCCAAAGTCTCGCTACATCTTTCCTCTTCCCCCAAAGCAGCTATGGGTGAGGCTGTCCCAAGATCCTAAACACACGGCCATCACACTCTAAATACAGCCTGATGGAGCAGACCCTGGTGCCCTGCTAGGCCAGCGATCCCTCACCTCGTTACTGATGGTGGAGTCCCGGTGCATCATCCGGTGCAGATGGCTGTCCAGGCTGGCCCCCGATGAGCATTTGGCCAGGGCAGCTGCATGTGACTCCCGTTCCCTCTGCCGCACGATTGCCTCGCAGCCCAGCCACTCAGCCATGGTCTGTGCGTAGCAGGCGTGAATCTGCTCATCTACCTGCCAGGGAAGATGAAAGTTCACCACGGGGCTGGGGCCCTTGGGCAGAGCCAGCCCCCTCTGGAAGAGAATGGCTTTGACCCATGCAGCACATAGTCAATAAATACCCAGCAGGTATTAACTAAGCACCTACTATGTTACGCTTCACATGGGCTAGGCCAGGAGATACACAAGGGGCACCATTCCTCCCTCCCTCCCACGCTTTCTTCATTCATTGACTCATCCATCCAACTACTTGCTGAGCCCCAGACTACGTGTCAGTCTACGCGGATCTGGAGGACCCAAAGAGAGCATACTTCCTCTTCTTTACTACCTTCCTTCTCTACTCTTCATTCATTAATTTACTCACTCCCTCATCCACTCACTCTAATCTGTTATGTACTACAGTATGCCAGCCACCAGGCTGGGCATGTGGAATATAAACTGAGTAACCTAAGACCCACCTGTCCACCCACAATGCACTACTGAGGGCCTCCCACATGCCTGACGTGGGCCAAGAGCTAAGAACACAGGGGTGAACCAAACCAACGTGCTTCCTCTCCAGGCAGCCATGGCCTGATAGAAGGCCACGGTTTCAAACGGTCTCTTTGTGGGTGTGACCTCTGCAGAGACATGGGGGTCCCTCTTTGTCCCTCAGTTACACAGCCCAGGTGACTGAGGACCTTGAACCTATCGGACACCTGAGCACATTACGGGCAGGAGGCAAAGAGAGAGGGTGTGGGTCTGAGCCCACCCGTACAAGGGTGGCCCGGGTCCTCATCAAACTCCTCGAGGCTGCTCCAAGTCCTGGGCTCCAGGAATCCTAGGCCAGGTCCCACGACCCCTCACCTAGATGACCCCAGCAGCCTCTTCTCAGGTCCCTGCTTGCCCTAGCTTGGCCCCCACACACCGCTCAGCGGACCTCAGTCTCATCTCTTCCTTGGCCTCACCTCACACAGCTGCCCTTATTCCCAGGTCTTCGTTCCAGCAACTCACGTCCACTATGTTTTTCTCCCTACTCCCCACAAACCATGCCGACACACACCTCACATCATGCTGCCTCCCCTCTGTGCTCCTGCTGTCCTCCTTCCTCAACGTCCCTCCTCACCATCTTTGCCTGGAAAGCAACTCCTTTGAATAATGTGAGTCTCAGAAGCTCCTAGGGCCCTTTCTTGGCCAATTACCCCCTCCTGCCTAGCTTATGTGCCCCCAGATGCTTGTATAGCCTCAGGTTGGCCTCTACCAGATCACTGACTGCCTACTCAGTACCTGGCAAGGAGCTCACCTAGTGTACCTGGGGATGCCCAGCTCCTCAGTAACTGTTTGCTCAGCACCCAGCAGACATGGGCTGAATGTGGGTGACCATGCATAGGGCTGAGGTGACAGCAGTTCATCTGCACAGATTCTCCTACGGAACCTCAGGAACTTCCCACCTTTAACTCTTCTAACTCTGATTCCACCAGGAGGAAAGGGTCAGCCTGGTATTACTAGGAGGTCAATGCCTTCTTAACACTCGATAACCTCCCATTCAAGAAAGTCTTTGTTCCTTTTTTCAGTACTGGGGATGGAACCCAGGGCTTCATATGTTATGCAAGTGCTGTGGCACACAGGCGGTACACTGAGCTACATTCCGAGTCCCTCCTAAGGTCTAATTGGCATACGGCAGTTGTACATATTTATGGGCTACACGTAGTAATTTTATATATGCGTACAATGTGTAACCATCAGAGTGGTTTCCCTCTCCTTAAATATTTATCACTTTTTGTGCTGGTAACTTTCAAACTCCTCTCTTCGGTGGCATCTCAATTATACCGTGTGGTTTCATTCTAAATGATGAATAGTTTCCTTCTGTTTATCGTAAGTCACAGCGGTTTCATATTTATGGCAAGAATATAAAATATCTTCTAAAATAAGTTGTGAATTTTAAGTGAGTTGATTTTTAAAAGACAAATGTCAAATCAGTACAGGTGAAGCACTGAGAAGTTAAAATACCACAGATTTTGAAAACTCGGTATAAATGAGTGTAAAATACATCCTTAGTGACTTTATACAGATTACATACTACAATGACAACATACTGGATTTAAGAAATATTAAAATGAATTTTACCTTGAAGAAATGGTGTAGAACCCCACAACCACCCCCATACACGTATGCAGAAGCAAAAACCGGTGAGAGTGTAGCAAGGCCAGGAGCTAGCGAGCTGTACTGTGACAACGTTACGCCCTGGTTTTTCTAATGTGCTGTTCTTACGTAGGATGTTACCACTGGGGAGAGCTGGGTGGGTACACGGCCCTTCTGTATTCGTTTTGCAACTTCTTCTGAGCTTATATTTATTTTTTGTGGTGCTGGGGACTCAAACCACAGGGTCTTGCACTTGCTAGGCAAGTGCTCTATCACTGAGCTATAACCCCTAGCCCTGTCTTTCCATTTTTTAAAGTGTGGCTATTAAAACATTAAAAATTGTGTATGCGTCACCATAATGCAGACAGTATGGTACTGGCAGGAGTACACAGAGAAACTAATATAACAGAAGGAAGAAAGTCAACCCCAAAGATTACATGCTGTATGATTCCACTTACTTAACACACAGGAAATGACGACAGATCAGTGGCTGCCAGGGGTTGGGGATGAGGTTAGGAGGTAGGGTGGCTATAAAAGGACAAGAATATCCTTACAGCACCAGAAATTTTCTGTATGTTGACTGTGGTGGTGAAGAGAAATCTCCACATGTGACAAAGTGAAGAGAACTAAATACACACAAACAAAGGGGTACAAATATAACTGAAGCGAGAGATCCACTGTCCTGAGGTCAACACCCTCCACGGAGTTACATACAGCTTGCTAGGTGTTACCACTGGGGGAAACTGCGTAAATGATACACAGGGCCTCTGTTTTGTTTCATACCATTTTGGTTTTTTGCAGTACTGAGAATTAAACACAGGGCTACATCCCCATCCCATGTTTTTTATGTTTTATTTTGAGACAAGGTCTTGCCAAGTGGTTAAATTGCCCAAGTTGGGCTTGAAATTGTGATCTTCCTGTCTCAGACCCCCGGAGTACTGAGATTACAGGTATGTGTCACCACACCCAGCTCTGCATTATTTCTTACAACTGTGTATAAATTTATAATGATCTCAAAATGATTTATATGTCTTATACTGTACTTCTATTAGACAGCGTTACCCTGGCGATCCAGCTGTCTCAATTCTCCCCTGCCCACCTTGGTTCAACATGGAAACAGAGCTCCTTCACCCCACAGCACCTGGCTCCTTTGGTAGCCAAAGACTTTGGCACCCGTCATGGTTAACCAACCTCCTTCCTGTCTGTCTCCGTCATTCCGAACTGGTAATGGCCAAGGAGGAAGGGCCACACAGCCTTGCGGATCTCCGGCTGGATCCCTCCATAATAGATTAGGCGCAGCAGCTCCTGCTCCTCGTAACTCTGCAGTGGTGGGGGGACAAAAGGGTTTGGTCCACAGATAACCAGGGGTGGCTCTGTGCTCAGCAGTCTTGCCTATCACACCCAGCCTGAGAGGTCCTGGTAGCAGTGAGCACAGGCTATACAGAAACATCACAGGAAAAAGCCAAATGTGGGCAACTGCTCACCAATGGGAGACCAAAGGAAAGAAGTCATCCTACAGGAGGGATGTTCAGTGTGCATTAAGTGAGAAATAACAACAAAAAATACACAAAACGTGTAGAATGAGCCAATTTTATAAAGCAAACTTAGAAGCTCAGTATATAATAAATTAACATTTCTATTTAAATTTCAGTCGTTTCATGTTGTGCTTATTGGAAACTACTATGTTGAAGTTATTCATCTTGTCTCAGCTCTAAGAAAAGTACTCTACAGGGAATTAATCTACAATGAACATGTCCAGTTGCGACTTCATATACTAATAACTTTTGTGTACACTAGCATATTAACAACTGTCTGCTTTATTGTACATGGAACTGATGTACCCACTTAAAAATTCATTTTATGGGCTAGGGATTTAGCTCAGTGGCACTATGCCTCCCTTGTAAGCACAACGTCCTGGGTTTGATTCCCTGGTTCCCCCCAAAAAATTCATTTTCAGGCAAAATATCTGCAGTTAGGATTAGCTGAGCGGAGGAAACAGCAGGTCCCAGATGTACTCGTACTTGACCTGACAGACTGCTTTGTCTCCCCTCACCTCTTTACTGCACACTGCAGCATTAAAAGCCTGTTCCACGTAGTAAGCCTTGTCTTAGATGTACCAACCACAATGGAAAAGCCAGCCATTCCTTGTCTCTTGGGAATTCTGACTTGTATGATGTAGACAGCTTTGTGAAGCTGTTTGAAAATTATTTGTGACAGTTGTGAAGAAAGTAATGTAAGCCATTTTTAGGCCAAGGACAGGAGAAAGCAAGTAGATTCCCTCCCCACTATTTTCCCTCCTGCTGATCACAAGACCAAAGGAGCCTAAATCTCTCGGGGAGGACAGATGCCCACTCATCAGAAACACCCACCCAGGATGGTAAGTGAGCAAGAAGGTAAAACCCCAAGGCATAAAACAACCCAAACACTGGGGCAATTACCAGTGCTCAGTCTAACCTAATATGACAATGCAACCAAAAGTGGTGAAAATGTGGCCAAACAGGCTCGGAAAAGTGCATATTAGATAAAAAATATTCACTCTTGGTCAACTTATTGTTTCAATTGATTTGTCTTTAGATTGATGCCTTCCAAATTGGGAAGGTCACCAAAGCACTTGGGGAACTTTCCAAATATATAGATTTTTGGGCTCCACTCTTGGAGATGCTACATTAGTTTGAGCTGGAGCTGAGCTGAAAAATCTATGACGTTTTACATTTCTTGGGAAACACGCACACTCAGACTGCTGGGGATTATGAATACTTTGACCTTCTGAGAAAGTAAGTTGGCGTATTTATTTAAAATTTAAGCACATGGCAATCAATTTTACTTCTAGGAGCCTATTCCTGAAATAAAAATGCCAGTACAGAAAGGTCTGTGTTTATAATTATGTTGACTGCAACGTTGTTTGAAATGATTTTTTAAAAAGAAAGGAAAAATGCAGATATTTGTTATTAGGGGAAGATTGGAGTAAGTTATGGGCTATTCATATGAGGTGCAAGGTTCGAACATTCAGTATCTCATCTAGAAATCTAGAGATATTTATTCATTCAATGGACATAAAAGTAGGTGGGTCACAGGCCAGGGATCCAGCTCAGTGGCGCTGCGCCTGCCTGGTAAGCACAAAGTCCTGAGTTAATTCCCAGTACCAGAAAGAAAAAAAAAAATGTACGTTGGTGACTTAAAATATAGGTATGTAAACATTAGCACATTTAAAAATAAAGGCTATGGTAAGGTAAATATAAACATTATTGAGGTATAGACTTATATGCCTCAGTAATACCTTATGGATTTATCTACCTATATATTGTTTATAGTAATCATTCCATAAGAGATCAAAAATAAGATGGATTTTTAGCTACAGGTACCAAATCTAGGTAGATATAACAGATACAGAAACATAACCTGTATAACATATACAGATACAAATCTATAAATATATCCATAGCTATGCAGATTTATATCTAAAAATACAGTAAGCCAGTTATCTACTGTCTTATATATTACAGATATACAGATAAACTATGAATATATATTAGATCCATGCATGGCTCCACACGGCTCTGTACCTACAGCTACGGAGACAGAGATACAGATAAGGCATAGGGTACAGCTGCTGTGATGGGTATGCATAGGAAATACAGAGAACATTCTGCACCAACTGGGACTGACTGTTCATAAAGGGGATCATGGGAGTATTTCATTTTTAAATTTTATATACTTTCTTTATTCTCTGATTGTTACAATAAAAGAGCATTATTCCTACAATTTAAAAAACAACTATTTTTAGTAAAAAGAAAAAGAATTCTTTTAGTCCAGGCTTAGGAACCAATGTGTTTTTCCTACAGGCCCCCAGCAACCTTCCTGCTCCCCAGGAATGGTCAGAGAGCAGATTCTCTCAAGGTATGGGGTCCAGCGCTCCCCAGATGCTCCCTAGCTTGGCTTCTCTAGCACCTGCTGGGAAAGCACAAAGCCAGAGGGCTGTCACATCCTCCCAGGTGGAGGAAACAGGTGCCTTCTCCAAAATCCTGTTCTTGGCATAAATTAGTGCTTCCTAAAGTGAGTTCTACCTTCCACGAGCCATGGGATGGATTTTTCCAACAAAGGTTTCTGAGGTCAAATACATTTGAGAGGATGTCCTTCCTCAGAGGAGGTGAACCTACGGCACGTGTGCTGCAGTGGGCTGTTTCCGTCACTGGAAGCTATAAAAGGTTTGCCACCACTGTTCTACATGCTTGCCTCCTTACCCGATTTCTGGAGTGTGGCGAGGATATCGGCACAGCCAAAGTTCTGGGAAGTCCCACTAAATACAGAAAACTATTTAACCTTCAAGAACCCCCCGCCTTTGGAGCAATACTGGGGATTGAACCCAATACCTCTGTACTGAGCTATATCCCCAGCTCTCTTAGAATTTTTCACTGTGAGATAGGGCCTCACTAAGTCACTAAGCTGCCCAGGCTAGACTCAAACTTGCAATCCTCCCGCCTCAGCCTCCCAGAGTCTTAGGATTATGGACACGCACCACCATACCTGGCTTCTCTAACCATGTGGTGAGGACATTTTTCAAACGTAAACATTTTCATCCAGAGACATTTCAATTTTACTAAGAATATCTCAGAAAGCATTCAAGGAATGACTATCCTTAGATGAAGTATCTCTGCAGAATTTCAGGCTCGAAGACGGAGACGAGAGAAAGGAGTCCTAGCAGTGGCAGGAAAGCTCTCGGTGGTCTGGCTGCCTCCCTCAAACTCAGGTGCTTTTCTTGTAGTTTCACTTGGATCACAAATTCCGTGCCGCTAGACACAGACCCAGGAACATGTGTGGGATGAGGTGGAGAGCAGCACGCAGTAACAGATGCTCGCCGACTGACTCATACAGGTTGCAAGCCTCTCATGCAAAATGCTTGGGACCGGAAGTGATTTAGATTTCAGATCGTCTCGGATTTTGTAATTTTTTCATATTTGCAATCTTGGGGAAAAGGACCCAAGCCTGAATACAACATTCATGTATTTTATTTATACCTTATACAAACAGCCCGAAAGTGATTTTATACAGACACTGTCGGTGCGTGTGCATTTTGACCGTAACCTACCTGTCACATGAGGTCAGGCGCTGTGTACAGAAACTTGCACTGTGGTATCAAGTCCCTGCTCAAAAAGCTAGGGATTCTGGAGCATTTTCAATTTTGGATTTTTCACATAAGGGATGCTAACCTGTATGTTTTCCAGTCCCTCAATTTTAACTAACGGGGAGAGCGCTCATGGAACTCTCACGAATATAGTGGGCCTTCAATGTGCATATGGGCAACCCAGGCATGTGATCTTGAGTCCCCACAAGCAGAGAGAGTCATTTACTCCTCAGAAGACACAATGGCCTCCGCCCTACCGCAACCCAACCCCTGCCCAGGCTTACAGTGCTGTCCTGAAGGTACTGCTCCCAGATTCCAGCCGTCAGCCCCTGCCCAGCGTCACAGGGCGTGTCTGGAGATACAATCACGTGGTTGACGAGGGCCGACAGGTGGGTCCTCACAGTGGACAGGTGTCTGCAGTGGGCAAGCCCTGCAGGGCGGGGAAGGAAAGCATAGTCATCTACCATATAATGCCTTTTCTCGTGGCGTCTCCGAAGTGTTATCTTGCTACCCAGCTTCCTGGACCCCACACTGAGCAAATTCTCACTTTTCCAGACAAAGAAAATGAGACTAGAAGGGAGGGGTGATGTCATTTGCTGGCTTGACTGCTTAACCCTAGGAAAGTTTTGTCACCTTTCTCAAGTTATCTGAGTGGAGCTCATGCTCCCTGTGCCTCTCTAGGCTCACAGAGTTGACCTGCACTGCTTGCTACTGCACACACAAGTCCATGCGGATTGGATTAAGACTTTTCCAGGATGCCTGAAAATGCATGCCTTCTCTCCCTGATCTAGGCTGTGGGGCAAGGGAAATAAAACCTGCAGAGAGGAGAAAATCAAAGCCTGGAGAGGCAGGCAGGCCGTGTTAAAGTATCAGCTCTCCTTTCCGTTAGCTGTGTGACCCTGAGCAAACCCCTTTGTCTCTCTGCTTTAATTTCCTCACTTGATACATGAGAGTAATCAGAACAGAATACCTGCATTAGGAATTTTAAAGTATCAGGAAAGGGATGAGATCACATTACTCTTCTTCCCACAGGAGAAGGGAACAGACATTTACTGAGCACCTGCGACACACCATATGAGGGAAGAGGGGCTTTATAACAACTTCTCATCCAACCCTGAAAACACACCCTCCTAGGTGAGGCTTGAGGTGCAGTGGTGGCTAAGCCAAACTCCCACCCCAGGGGCCCCAGTGTTCACCGTCCTCTTAGGACTCAGGGATAAAATGTACACCTCATCTATAGATGAGGAAACTGGAAGTTAATACAATTTCTTCAAGACCAGACATCTAGGAAATAGAGGAGCAGAAGTTCAAATTCGAAAGTCTGGCTCCTTCCTCTGCTACTGCTGACATGTAGTCACCACTCAATAAATGCTCACTGGATGCTACACCATCAGTGAACATGCATACATACATCCATAGAAGGCTCTGGAGAGGATCTGGTACTTCATATTGTCACAGAGCAGTTTCAGAGGAGCCCTGCAGGTGCAGAGAGAGGAAGACGCTTAGAACAGAACTACACTCAGCACAGACTGTCTGAAGAGGGTAGATTAAAATCAGCCAGCGGGGGACTGCAGCTTGGGCTGCTAGGATGCTCACCCACCCAATAGCATGGCTGTCCTGCCATTAGCACCTGTATTTTCCTTTAAGGAACCACCTATAAGTCTCTGTGGATGGGGAGCTCTACCTAGTGTGTGATCCAGGGTGGAGTCACAGTATTTGGCTCAGACGCGACCACGTGACCTAACCTGGCCAAGGAGAACCGGCCCTGAGACTTTCACTGGCACTACTAGGAAAAAGACTCCTTTTTTTTTGCTTGGGTTTTAACATAGTGGGGCATATATGGTCAGAGATGCTGGAAACCATCTCTGCCATTGCCTGGAAAACTAGCATAAAGGCAAGTAGAGACAACATCTGAAGAAAGAGAGGGATTCTTGAGTATCTGGATCTGGCCTGAAGTTACTGTGCATCTGAACTTCTCATTTATGCCAGCATATTTTTTCTGTTTCTTTTCCTGAACTGGTCTGAAGTAAGTTTCTGTTACTTGCAGAAAGAGCTCATAAGTGAGTCAAACTGAGATTCAGAGTTTGGCTGATTACAAAAGAGGTGATGCTTAAAAGCTTCTCTTGGCACAGGAATTTTTAGGTGCTGTTCTGACTAAAATAAGAGTGGGGTCCCCAGCGCTGCTGGAGAAACAAGGACTGGCATAGGAAGTGTCCTGTACTCTTGCAGAGGACCAAATGGAGGAACATCTACATATTCATTCTTAGGACATCCCAGGGGACACCCAGCGAAACCCCAGGTAGCAACAGAGGAAGCTTTAAACATTTAAGTGGGTCCTTTGTGCCCTCAGGCTGGTTAGATTTAGACATGTTCAGGTTATATAAGAACATTACACTGAAAGCTTGACTTGATGCTCTGCAAGACAGAGAGCTTCCCACTGTGCAGGCAGGTGAGCAGACACTGCCAGAGGGGGTACTGGGTAAAGCAGTGTTTATCCACAGCCACAGACACAACCGGGCCAGTCCGATGGTCACTTGGACTTTCTCTAACATGTACATTCCTGGGCCCTACACAGAGCTCTCCCTCAAGCAGGATACATAGGAAGCAGGCTGGGACCAGTAGCTTTGCTACATCCCCGGGTGACTCAAAGTTTGAGGATCTCCAGTTACATTAGAATTTTTCAACTTAAATATATATATACATGATCTGGGGTGGTATCAAGCACAGACTCTGCAAGTATGGCTAAAGACTGGACCTCCCACTAGGACAAATGTCTGCCAAGGATGAGGCGTGCCTTTTCCCTGGCTGGGCCAGCGAGAAACAGATCATTCTTGTGAACTGACTTAGTTCAAAGAGACAGAATCTCTGTGGGCAAGGAGGGAGATGAACTTAGACTGAACTTTGTATAATAAAAGTGTCATTTATTGAACATTACCATGCGCCAGGTATCTCACGCTAGCCACATTACATCATTATTTGATCTGATCTTTACAGTTCTATGAAGTAAGTGTTTTCTGGAACAGAAGAGTGAGATATGTAAGCACATGGCAGGGGTGTGCTTCTTTATGGGTAGGGCCAATGATTTGGGAGCAGAAATAACCAACATTTCTTGTTGGTTAAGCCCCTGCAAAGGTACCGTTCCCACTGACATTGAGACTGGTAACATTCAAGGCAATGGCTGCTCCACAAGCCAGGCCCTTTGGTTTGGACAAAGCAGACTCTCAGCTGACCTATGGTAGACACACATCATGTGTGATAGATACAGTTTGCCATAAAAAGCCAATGAGGTTTCAAGACTTACCACACCCATAACCTTGTTTGTCCCGACTGACACACACTAGCAACCTCCAGCAGCCAGGACTGCACAAGGTCAAGGTTTAGCATAGCTCTGGATGATTCCATAAGCCTGTGCTCGTAACTCCAAATTCATTACATGGCAAGAAATGGGCATCCATAAGGCCCTGGCCAACCCTTCAGTCCCACTCATTCACAGTGCAAGCCCCTCCTACCTTTCGTGGTTGCAGCCACTGTTTGAGCTACCATCCGCTGAGCCAGTCTGTGAACAGGAAGAGCAGGAGGATTTCCGGGGACTGGGCTGCCACAGGGAGGGGAGGTTGCTCACGGAGCCATCCATCAGATCCTGGGGGACTGTGGTATGTAGAAGGGGCAAAAGGGCCCTGGTTAAGTCTGTGTGGGTCCCAGAAACCTTACCCCAAAGCAGTTAGCTCCCCACCAGGCTGGCAGAGGGACAAGGAAAGACCTCCAATGTGAAAGTGGGAAATACAGCCCTGATCACAGCCTGACACCGGCCCTTGAGCCCACCTGATCCAGTGAAAGCCACCACCATGATTTGGAAGCTCCAGCATACGGGCAGAGCTGATGAAAGCCAAAGAGACAGGAGGAAACGAGAGCCAAGAACACAGGCCCAACCCCCAGGCTGGCCGCCTCGCCATGTTGTCGTTTAGTTGTGCTCACAGGATGCTGATGGTAAGGATGGAAGCCTGCTAGGCACTTCTGGGGAGCTCCTGGTGGTGAGCTGAGGGAGCCTGTCTCAACAGAGGAAAAGCACCCTAAGGCAGGAGGCCCAGAGGAGTGTGGCTAGGGTGCTGTCCACCCACGTTCCTGAACCACCACCATCTGGGTCCACACAGACTGACAATCCCCAGTATCTCGCGAGGGCTCGTTAAAAAGCCATATGCCCATCCTGTAACCCTCACCTACTGAATTAAAGTCTCTTGCAGATAGAGCCGGTATTTTTAATTTGTAATTTTCATTTTTTGTGGTACGGGGGATTGATTTCAGGGACTTTACACTGAGCTACATACAATCCCAGATATTTTTGTTTTCTAAGACAGGGTCTCACTAAGTTGCCTAGACTGGGCTTGAAATCTTCCTGCCTAAGCTTTTCAGAGTGCTAGGATTACAGGTGTCTACCAGCATACTTTTTTGTTTTGTTTTGTTTTTTGGTACTGGGGATCAAACTCAGGTCCTTGCACTCTTGAGGCAGGCGGCAGTACCACTGAGCTAAATCCCCAGCCTTCCACCAGCATTCTTGACAGTGATCTTTTTATAATAATGTGGATACAGCAGCCCCACTGGAGAGACCCTGCTCTCCTAACTGCTGGACATTGGTGATTTCCAACTAGCTGCTCCCAGGACAAGGCACGCAATGTCTTTAATTTTTCCTTTCTTTGCTTCAGGAAAACCACAGTATCTGCAACTGTGGAACAAACGTCCAGTGACACACACATATGTACTGCATTATGACTTCTGCAGTCTGCTCCCTGGTTTCTTGGCAGTTCTAGATGGGGCGACATTCTCATTTTCTCCTCAGAAAACTTTCCTATACTCAACTGTTGTCACAGGGCAGATCCAGCCACATACACATATAAACAAGCATGGGAATGGTCCAGCACAACTCTGTTGGCAGACATTCAAACATGAATTTGTATTATTTGCATATGTCACAAAACATTCTCATATTTTTTTATCTGGTCACTTAACATAAAAACCATTCCCAGCTCATGGGCTGCACAGAATGAAGTTGGATTAGGCCTGTGGACCATGGTTTTCTAATCTCTATTCCAGGAAATGAGAGAGTGTACATTTTTCCTGCAAGCAATAGCCGCTCAAGTACAAATGATCCTGAGGGAAGGAGTGTGGACGTGGCTCCACTTGTTATAAAGCTCAGCAGCTATCAGGGCCACTCTACCCACTGACACAGATGAAGCTGCCTGCAGAATGTGGTCCTTGAGCCTGGGATTTAGCTCAGAGATTCCGCCGCCTGCCTCGCCAAGTGTAAGGTCCTAAGTTCGATCCCCGGTACCAGAACGCAGTTCTTATTATACTCTTCCTCCCCAAGTAGACTCCGTGCACATGTGAGGACCAAGCTTTCACTCCAGCCCCTCACACCATATAAGCCTCACGGGTGTAGCCCTTCCTTACTGAATACCCAGCACCCCCAGCTGCCTTCTGCAGTGTGGAGGCTGGACAGCACCAAGGCGTCCCCTGCACCTTCCTCCCAACTACCCTGGGACCGACACTCATAAATGACAACATGGCAGAGGTGTCTGGCACCCAGACCCTGAGGAAGGGAGAGCTCAGACATTACTGAGGGGCTGTTCCTTTGGGCCCAGTGTGGGAAGGGCGGTGTCCCATCTGGCTTGTGCCCACCGAATCCTCCTGGCTACCACCAGCATAGACTGGCCAGCAGGAACCATCATCCAGGCAGGGCCCACAGAGATGGAGCAATCGTTGCCTGAGTGGTTGGAGGCAACTTGAGACACAAAATAAAAAGAAGTGGTCAAGTGAAAGGTCTGAGTGGGCAGGGCAGGCAGACAGCAGGAAGAAACCAATTTCTGGGGTCAAACCACTCCCTTGCTCTGCACTGCTCCCATGTGTATGGTATCTGAGTAAAGAAAGGATGGGGATATATTTACAAAGTGCCTACTTCATGCTAAGCGCTGGACTAGGCAGAGATTTGCCTTATCACCCTTGGCAACCCTGGAAAGGATGCATTTCTCTCCCCACTTTGCCGAAGAAGGTGCTGAGGCTCAGCGTGGTAACACAGCTTCACCTCCCAAAGCCTCGCCCGGTAGTGACACAGCTGGTCTTGTATGACCAAAGTCCTTCTCTTCCCACTGACGAGTCACTACTTACAGAGGGCAGCACTATTTCTAACCCTTTTTACAAATTATCAAACCGAGGCACGGAATGTTTAAGCTGGTTAAGCGGAGGAGCTGAGATTGTAAACCAGGAGATTTGACTCTGAGCTCTTCCTCATGACCCCTTTACTGTTTTCCCATTGGCTCCCAACTCTTCACACATTGTTTGTTTTCAACTGGGGCCTTTCCCGTGAAGTGCAGAGACATTTCTGGCTGTCACAACGCAAGCATTGCTGAATGCTCATGGAATGTCACGGTGGGAGATTGGAGATGTTGCGCATCACCCTACATGGCACAGGACAAGCCCGCACACGAAGAATTATTTGTCCCATGTCAGCCATAGTGAGGCTCAGAAATTTAGCCTCAGCCCAGCATTGTCCAAAAGAAATGGGATAGAGCCACATATGTACTTTGAAACTGTCCCGGAGCCATATTAAACAAGTAAAAAAGAAACATGAGACAGATTCTGACAATAGAGTGTTTCACCCACTATATCCAAAGTGTCACCTTTTTAACATATAATCAATATAGAATTACTAACAAGGTATCCTGGATTCTTTTTTTTTTTTTTTTTTGCATATACAGTGGACCCTCAAGTTAACAGAAGATTCATTTGCCTCTGCTATCTATAGTGTGTACCCAGGTAAACATCCAGATCTCAGCTGTACTGACTTAGTTACAACCAGCTTTCTGCCAACTGAGTTCATAAGTCAAGGGTCCACCATGAGGTTTTCCCAACCCTATGTTTTATACCTGCAGTACATCTCGGGTCCCCTGGCCACAGAAGATGGGCTCAGTAGGCACAGGTAGCTTGTGGCTGCCAAACAGCAGAGACAAGCTCAACGGCAGAGGAGCCTGAAATGACTGTCTGATTGCGCATCTGTCCATATGCTTTAGAAAAGTGGCGGTGGACTTACGGCACGCAGGCCACAGTGGGATGTTTGTATATTGGAAGCTCTAGAAGGTTTACCAGCACTGCTTTAGAACCTGTCTTTTCCTCCCCAGAGAAGAAGGGGAAACGCCTGTGACTGAGCATGTGCCAAGCACTAGGCCCACGTCAGGTTTTATGAGGCATCACGCTAACCCTCCAAATATGATCTCGAGTGGGGAGTGCTGTCGTCTCCTTTCTCCAGAGCAGGAAATGAGCCCTGGACAGATGAGTCACATGACCATACTGCAGAGGCGCTGCTGCGTGCTCTTTTCTCTAAACCAGCAGTTTTCAAGGAGGGAAAATTGTGCCCTGTTGTAATCCCTACAGGACCTCTGGGTGACGGTGCAGAAGACATACTTCAGACTTTGCTCTCCTGCGGGGTGACAGGCTGAGGGATGGCCAGGGAGACAGTGATTCCCATTACTGCCAATGTGACACGCTCCTGAGAAGGGACCTTCATGGCAGAGACACTGAGGCAGGCAGCTGGCAGGTGAACGGCATGGCCAGGATGGGAAATGCCAAGTGCTGGGGGGGACAGAAGTGGCATCTGTTCCTCTGGCCACGTCAAGCTACAACGGGACAACATGAAGAGCCTCCAGATAGGTCTGGCACCAACTGCCTCTCAGGAGAAATTATTTGTTGGCTGAGAATCTGGGTGACGGAGGAGCTTCCTGCAAAGGCAGGTACAGGGGCCTGTCCCTCTTCAGTGATTGGCTTGTAAGGCATATCCATTTTGGTTGGGGTAAGAAGGTTCTTATGAACACGACAAGCCTGTGGAGCATTCTGGGGATTTCACCCTCACTAAAGGCACCTTGTCAGCACAGGGCTGGAAAAGCCTTGGTATGGGGTCTGAGTACCACATTCTCACACTGGTACCACACAGAGGCCGGCAGCACTCGGGGCTCTGATATCAGGCAGGGATAGATGGGAAAATTCTCACACTTAGGTGATTCAAGACACAAAGCTGTGCTGCCAACTGGCCACGAGGGAACATCACGGGTGAAAACACAGGCCAACCTGAGAAACAGACCTGCCCCCAAGCCTGCACCACACCAGTCCAAACTCTGCCACTGACGAGAGGCATATAATAACAATGGGCACTCCAGTACTCTGTGTGCCAGATGCCTTACTTTCTTTAACCCTCAGAGCAATACTAACAGGTGCTAAGAACATCCCCACTTTACAGATGAGGAAACAGTGGCATCAAGCACTTGTCCAAGTTCAGCCAGGATTCCAGAACCTACGTCACCACCGCCATGCTGTCACCTGCTGCCCAGCAGCATCTTTATCAGTCACGTACAGAATGATTATTTGTTCTCAGTTTGGGGGACAGTGAGGTTGCCGAAAGACTACCTCCTGATTCCAGATCCCCCTGTGTCTCAAGCACTGGGAACAGTCACCAGGCTCCGTGAACAGGTGGGCCCAGGGCATGGGGACAGGGAAGCTTACCAAACTCAGACTGCATGCCGGGATAGATGATCCGGAACACATAATCTGTGGCCTCATCATCCTCCTTGTCTGAAGATGTGGATTCAGAAGAACCCTGGGGGCTTCGCTTCCGCAGTTTGGGAAACACCTTGCCCTAAAAGAGCTGGTTTCAATGCAAGGTCCCTAGGGAATACCTGCTCCCACAGCCTGCCCAGCCCAAGGGTCTCTACGGCAGTGCCTGAGACTCAGGTCCCAAGGCAAGGAGGACTTCTCCCCACAGCAGCCCTCCCAAGCTTCCCAACCACTCACCTTGCCCCGTTGGGACCAGAGTGGTGGGTCGAGCTGACCATGGGGAAGCAGCCCATTCTCCAGGCATGAGAGGAACTGGAGGAGGTGACCGCCCTTAGGGAAGCGGAAGGGTGGCCTCTGGATGCCATCCTGGCTGACTAGCACCACTGTCCCACCACTGTCCACTGCCAAAGCAAGAGGCCAGAGGAGATCAGCAGGAAGTCACCACATAAGGCACTCTGAAAACACATGCTCTGAGGGTGCCAAGCCACAAAGGGGTCCTCCTCTCAGGATCTGGGTCCTGAGAACTTTGCAACCTACTACCAGCCATGACTGTTTGGGAAAAGAAGGGACAAGGCGAAGAATGTTACCCACCAACGGAAAAAGGAGGCCCCCAAACACCCGATGTTACTCGAGAATCCTCTCTTTGTATGGAGGCTTTCAGACGTAAGATTCCCCCTTCCCAGGGCCACTGTTGTCTGCCGTGGTTAATACAGTGAGCACTACCTGTGTGCCAGCACAGCACGTTAGAAGCACTGTCTTATTGTAATATTCACAATATCCCTAGAAGTTCTATTATTTTTCCTATCAATCATTGCTTATTTCACAAATAATGAAACCAAGTCTCAGAGAGGCTAAGTAACCTCCCAAAATCACAGAACAAGTATGAGGCAGAACCTGAATCTGAAACCAGGGCTATCTTATTAAAGGCTGGGTTTCAAGCCTCGGTGAGGCACAGACCACTTGTTTTCTACAGCAAGATGACTCTGCTCGTTCTGACTATCAGCCTTTAAAGGAACGCTGAGATGACTCATCCCTGTCAGCAGAGCACTGACTGGAAGCATAAAAGACCTGGGTTCAACTACAGGCTCTAGAGCTTACAGGCTGTGCTGACTACTCTGTGTCCAGCTGCTTCTTCACTGCTAAGGTGGGAGTGATGTCACCCCATCCCCAGGTTGTTACAATGACTGATTCACTGGCACCCTCACTTTGTAGAGGGTGACACCCAGCCCAGAGAGGCAGTCACTGGCTCGAGGTTGCACAAGTGATGCTGGTCACCCCCTATACTCTCATGCTGCTAACAAATATTCAGGGTCAGAGGCAGGAAGGGGACCGAGGACACTCAGCCGGGCCTCGCGGTCCCGCAGCTCTTACCTTGCTGGTGGCAGTGCAGGTAGACAATCTCCTCCAGGCGGATGGTCATGGCATAGTCCCAGTAGACGCTAGAACGGGAGGGGGTGTGACTGCCTTGTGAGAGTAGTTCAGGATGTCAGAAGCCCTCCCAAGCACTCCTCTACCCAGCTCAGAAAGCGTTAGCCATTGCTCCGAGGCCTAAATGTGAATCACAGGCTTGATATTTAACAGAACACAACCATCTTGTGGCTGTTTCTTTGAAAAAGCCCTTACTTTTTAGAGATACGTACTTCCGGATGTATCATATTCCAAGTAATACGTGAGGATTAGGGGTGCATGGCCAGCCCTGCAGGCTGGGTGACAGATACCTGTGTCCTGTCTGCAGGAGGGAGCCCTGGCATAGCATTTCTTCCTAGTGTGACTCCAACACGTTTGCTGAGTCTTGTACCTCACCTCACAGGTGTCAGTGAAGACACAGGCTTGGGGACCACACGCTGGCTGACAACTCCTGCTACCCTTCAGCTAAGTGATGTGAGAGCAGTCGGAGCCTGGGGAGTGTCTTGTCATTTGCAGGCTTACAAGACCTTTGGAAAGACTTTTCTGTCTGCACTGGCCGGGGAAATTCCTAACTTCCACACCCTAACACTCTTCCAGGTGGTCTGTGCATGCTCCTGAGTCTCTCCCTCAACCACCGAGGCTACAGTTGCAGGGAGGCTGAGCGAGGTAGCCCTGTAATCACCAGGCACAGTGGCCAGGGCTAGGAAATAATCTCCCTCCAAGGAAACTTCCCTGTGGCAAGCAAAGTAAAGAGACTCGGGGGACATACAATGAACACAGTACCCCACCTTTTCTCATAGTCCAGGTCCCCCACAGAGCCGTTCATCAGCTGGTTGGGTGTCCATTTCAGGGTCATAATGTCAGCTGTCTGGTGCAGGGACAGGTACCCTGGCACAGCCTCCATGTCATCCCTCTGCAGAGAGAGGAGCACTCAGACCTGGCCATAGCGCTGGAGACCCAGGGGACATAGGTCCTGGCCCCTCTGACTCAAGGATGTGGAACTGGAATTAAATGGTTCAGTTATTCAAGGCAATGGACATGTGGAAGACCCCAAGTATCATTCCCGGTGGCTCAGCTAAGGAAAGCCTTCTGGAAAGGCCTCCAGGATACAGTGTAGAGTCCTGCTGAGAGAACCACCCACCCCCACACTGTCACACTTAGCCTCCCTTCTGGGTCCGAGGGGCCTTGCTTCACTGTCCCTTTAGAACCAGGAGGAGGGCTATGTCTTTCCTAATGTCATCCTTTTCAAAACAAGGCATTTACGTTGCCAATCCTATGAAAGAAGAGGTGGCAAGTGAGTTCTACACCAAAACCTATTTCCCAAGCACCCTTACTGCACTGATCCAGCATTCAGGCCTCTGCCTTCCCAGAAAGTGCCTGAAGGGCTCCTTACTCATTTTATTTTATCCCCAGCAACTGGGTAGGGAGGGCAGGGTCAACATTCCTCATATGTGAAGGAAGCGGTTCCTTCACCAAATTCACCCTAGCAATAGAAGATAGGACGAGGACTACAGTGAGCTTGGCTCAGTCACCATGCACACGATCACAAGAGAACTACATGTGCTACACCCCTGCATGAGGGAGCAGAGCACTTAATAAACCCTGTGACACGATGTTATAGTCAGTGACCTTTCACAACTGACGCAGTTGTACTGTGTGATCTCACACAAACTCGGTCATAGCTGTGCACACTGTTGTCACATCAGCCAAGTTTTGGGCATGGTTATTATTCACATTGAGAACAGATGCTATTCTAGATGTCTTCCACAGGATTAGCCTGTGACTCAGCTCTGAATTGAAAAGTTATTGTGGCATAGGCTGTGCTCAGAGCTGTGCAGTACTAGTGCGACACTCGTGACACAGGCACAGTCTTCATCCCTGCAGGGTGCCCACGCTCCAGAGTGCCCTACAAAGCAGCCAGCCACTGCTTGCTAGGACCTCACACCTGGATCTCTGAGAGATGAGAGTGGACATTCTTACAATATATGCTGCACTTGTTGCTCTTTTGGGTCAGGGGAAACCAAACTTCAGTGTAAAGGGACAGATGGAATACGTTAGGCTTTATGAGCCATACAGCCTCAGCTGGAACTACTTACCCACCACCATAGCCTGAAAATAGTCATACACAATGCATAAACAAGTGGCAACATCTATGTTTCAAAAAAACAAGTGGAGGGTCACATCTGACCCACTGCTATCATGTTGCGCTCTCCTCTTGATACAACAGAAAACAGTACTATATGTTGAAAAATTAGAACCTCAATGACTCTAAATCAGCAAGTGATACAGAAGATTGAACTCTGAAGTATGGAGACACTTCAGGAGTATCTTAAAGTGCTTCAAATTATATTTTCTCCTACACTTTCTATTGGAAGAACAGTGTGTGATGCAAAGACCAAAAAAAAAAAAAGCCTCCCTATGTCTAAATAAGTGTCAAAGAATGTTTCAAAAAGGGTAAGATGAGGCTGAGGCAGAAGGATCATTGTGAATTTGTTGCCAGCCTGGGCTACATAGTGAGACCCTGCCTCAACAAACAAACAAAGAATCAGAAAAGGTAAGATGAAAATTTGCAAGTAGTGGAAAAACCTCTATATAATCTAAATGGCATTTTTGATTCCTTGATGGTTATGTGAAAAGGAGCATCTTAAATTCATGGCTTCTTAGCCTTGGAGAGGTAGGGTGGAGAGATGGACTAGAAAACACATAAGACAACTGGATGGATGGAAGAATGGGTATAAAGATGGGTACATGAATATGAACAGATGCACGAACCAATGGGTGGATGTAAGGGAAGGAGAACGGGCGTGTGTGGAGCGTGGAAGGGAGCTGGCTGGCTGGGAGACAAGACTGCTGGCTGGACGGATGGCTGGATGGAGTTACTGGTAGACGGGTGAACAAACAGGAGGGTGGGTGGATGCTGTAGGAACGGACGTGCAACCTGAGGCCAGAAGAAAACTCTTCCTCTGTGACATGAAGCCAAAACCCTCAGAGGCAGATCCGGGCCCACCACGAGCTCTCACCGGCTGAACCAGAACATTGTTCTTGCCATAGAGCAGGGTGGCTCGAGAGTTCTGGTGCAGGGACTCCACATAGTCGCGCGCAGAGAGGGACGGCCGGTCATCCATGCTGCCACTTGAATGCCTCTTCTGGATCTGGTAGTGTGACAGGAGACAGAGGGATGGCCCTGGAGTGGGCGTCAGGGCTCCTACCCCATTCCTCGTCCCCGGGTCCCTCTGTCTACTCACACAGAGGGCCGGACGCTTGGTGGGTGAGTCTTGCCGCAAGTGCGAGCTGTGGATGCGGTGCCTCTGGACCAGCTCGTCAGCCGAAGGGTCAGTCCAGAAGTGGTCTGCAGTCTTCATCTTGGTGTACTCCAGGGCACAGGGCCCCACTGTGGAGCACACGGGGCTGGGTACCTGAAGTCCCCAAAGGTCCACCCTCCTACCTATTATGGGATGGACCACCCATTCCATTCCCCATCCCCTTTAGTCAGGAAGTCCTACAGCCTGCAAAGAAGAGACCGAAACAAGGTCCTGAGAGCAAGAGACAGTGAACACACGTTTTGATGGGTAAAGCTGGAGAGGAGAGGGGCCCTCAGGTGGTGTCTGAGACCTGAGACCAGAGGTCCACAGGGATCTCTGAGCACTGGACCACATACCCAGGAGAGAAGCGAGAATCGGGCCATCCACAGGGTCCATCAGGAGTGCTTCCTTCTCATAGTATTTACTGGTGAGAGCAAAGGACACACAGGTTCAGATGGAGAGCACCAGAGGACACAACCGGAAGACTAGCTTCAGTCCCCCCATGTCACCGAGGAATGCTCAGCGGCTTAGCTGCCTGTCTACAATGTATCTTGTAGGGCAGTGGTAGGACTTCCGAGCTACACAAGAGAAAGGTATTAAACATGATGCTTGGTAAGCACCTGTTAATATGTGACTGAGAGAACAGATTCAATCTACTTCTGTTGGATATAGCAAGTCACTTAAAGGTGCAGATAAAGTCGGCTCTGCTACTCTTGAGGCAATAAAATGCTCTTCAACTGCAACATGTACTCAAAGGCTGTGCTAACAGGCCATCCTGTCTGGTAGCTAAGGCTGATAGTACTGCCCCGAGATGCTCAAAGAGTACCCTGAGGGGCTGGGGATCTACTAGCTCAGTAGTTCCTCTGCCTGCCTCGCAAGCGCAAGGATCCAAGTTCAATCCCCCATACAAAAAGAAAAGATTAAAGGGTGCCCTGAAATATGGCTTATGTGATGTAATCAATGCAATGAATTCAGGTATGAGTTTTTGTGTAATGTTTTCTAATTCCTTGAAAACTTGTATAAATTAGAAACTAAGAGAATTTCAAAGTTGGAAAGGATCTTGTTCTGATCCCCTAACAATCTCACACCCAGAGAAGTAAAGTGCTTGCTAGAGGTCACACAGCAGGCAGATGCAGTCTTAGGTTACACCCAGCTAACTTAACTATTACTATCATACAGCAGGGGGTGAAGGACACAGGATCTAAAGCCAGACAGACTGGGAGGAAGTCCAGCTCAACACTCTCCACCGTACTGTGCGCCGCTAGGCAACTGCATGGCTTCTCTGAGATTCAGTGTCCTCAGCTATGAAATGAGAGGAACAACAGAATTCATCTGCCTGGTTGCTGGAAAGACTGAACAATCACCTGCTTATAGAACACAGAGCCCAATGCCAGGCAGTCCTCACTAAATGGTGCCAATGTCATTGTAATCTAACCCCAGAGAAATCTTCTATCTGGCAGAATACTGGATGAAGCAGAGCTGACTCACCTCGAACTTGCTCAATATCAAGGTTCTGCATTTGGAAGTCAAATCTGAACGTAACACCTGAGATACTTCCTGCTTTGCTGCCACCTGAGTCTCATTCCAAACATCAAGACAGTGATCACAGGCCTTGGAAATGCTGCTCTAAAAATGGCAGGCAGGGTCGGGAAAAGACGTGACTATTAAAGCAGCCTAAGGGAATTTCTTTGGGGTTTCTCTAGAATGATTCTGTACCCTGATTGTGGTGCTGGCCAGACAAAGTCATCTGTGAGTTAAAGGCTCATTTAACTGTATGCCCAACAAATAAACAAACAAACAGAAAAGTCTCATACAAAGAGATCTGCAAATAAAAGCTGTTAATAGCACCATGCCAAAGGCCAGGGATTTAGCTCAGAAGCACCATGCCTACCTCTCAAATGCAAGGTCCTGAATTCAATCCCTGGTACAAAAAAAAAAAAGGACCATGCTAAGATCAGTATCTCGGTTTTGATAACTATACTGCTGTTATATAAGATATAATCACCGGAGTTAGCAGATTTGTACTCTCTGTACTAATTTTGCAACTTAGAATCTCAGAAATTTAAAATTCAAAATAAAATGAAAAAAATAACAGGCTGACACTGCTGCTCAAATGTGACCGACTTATTCAGCAGGACTGTTCACAGCCAGGGGCACAGACACATTAGAGCTTACTAGAAGGAAGAGAGGTTAAGTGGAGATTTCAAGCTCAGGTTTCTTTCAGCCTCTCTCCCTCCTCTAGGCCTGTGTGCCTGCTGTTACTTCTACCAGGAGCACTCTTTCCCTACTCCCTGCCTGCATCATTCCCTTGGAACACAACTCCTTCCCAAACACTTTCCCTGGCCACCTGGAAGGGACTGGACACCAATACAAGCCGTGTGAGGCAGTGCAGGCCTGGAATCCTGCCACTCTGGGAGGCTGAGGTAGTAGGGTCACAAGTTTAAGCTTAGCCTAGGCAATTTAGTTGAGATCCTGCCTCAAACTTAAAAAAAAAGAGCTGGAAATGCAGCTTACTGGGGAGGCTGTGGGTCCAAACCCCAATAGTGAAAAATCAAAACCGCAACAAACCACCGCCACATCCCCTTGGAACATTTAACATACATTATCGATCATACACATTTTCTTAGTAAAGGGGCAAAGAATTAAAAATTAATAGTAAAACCCACTGTCATGAACATGTGGTTAAAGAAGCACTTTCATAAAATGAAAGATGGGGAAATTCAGATTTCTTGTCTTTTTCTTTTTTCCCCTCAGGGCTAGGTATTGAACCCAGGAAATGAAACACTTCACCACTGTCCTACAACAGCAACTCCTTTAGATTTTTCGCTCTCTCTGGCTGGAAAGGCAGATTAGCCACGGAGATTCTCACATTACAATATAGATTAGTCAGTGGCTCTCCGCTGTTCCTGAATAGCCAAGCTCTGCAATAGGACGGGCAGTACTACTGTATCCCCAACATCTAAGTTAGTCCCCAGTACATAGGAGGTGCACATTAAACATTTATCAGATAAATGGATGGATGCTGGCCAAAGAAATGTGTACAATAAAACTTATATATCCGATCTATCTGAAGTAGGAGAGAACACGTAAAAAGGCATCACTGAATTTTCTAAATACTACCTACTAAACCCCTTCCTCATTTCTTGGGAGTGACACCAATCCTTCTGCCATTTGCCAAAGGGACAACAAGGAGCAAAAGGCTAAGCAGCTCTCCTACAGGTTATCAAGTGCTAACCCACAGGAGAAGGAAGAAACTCAAGGTTCCTGTACCTGACCTAACTCTGCATCCTGTGCACTGTTAGTGACGATCTGAATCTTCCCGAGTGTCTGAGCCAGACTAGGTCAGGGTCAAAGATCCAGGAGATTTATATACAAGCACCTTCCAACCCAAGAGCCTGTCCAGGAGAGCAAGAAAGTGGCTCTGTGCGAGAGGGCGTAATTCTGAGAAATGCCACTAGGGGGAGGCAGGGTGCACCAGGTGTGCAGCTTCCCTTGCTCACCTGCTGTTTTCCACCAGGTAATGCACAATTTTGTCCAGGACCTTCTCAAACAAGGCTGTGCGGATCCACAGATGCTTGATGGCGAGTGGGGACAGGCTGGGCAGCTTTGGAAGCTTCCGCATGTTCTCCTGGAGGCCCTGGATCTGGTTCCTCCTTCGAGAGCAGCAGGAGGAGGGTGGACACAAAGACAGACCAGGTAAGCAAGTGGGAAATGTTCACTGTCTCAAGGAAGTGAAGGAGCGGCAGATAAACAGTAAGAACTCACAGGGCTCCTAGCAAATGGGTCAAGAAGTAGAAAGGCAGTAATGCCCAGTGAGTGCGAAGATGTGGCTAAACCCACCTCCACACACCACTGACAGGCGTGCCGGGTCCTGACCAGTCTCTCCTCTCCTTCCTTCGCCTACCTCAGGGCCCTCTCTTCTCTTCTTCCTCTAAGTCTTTCCCCACTCCTTCAATCTTCTCTCCCTGTCTTTTCTTCTTCCCCTTCACTCTTTTGCTCTCTCTCTTCCTGCTGGGTTATAGAGCCTTTATTTAGTGACTCCCCACTACCACCCCAGGAAGCGAGGTCTTTAACATGATCAGAAGAGTGTTCCATGACCTTGCCTTCAGCACCCTCTCAGTTCATGCTCCAGCCAGAGCTACCTGCAGATTTTGCAGTTGCCAGATTCTCCATGGGTGGCGGTTCCTCCCCAGTTTCCCCTCTGCCCCATTTCTGGGATGACCCTCTCACTTTCTGTTTCAGCAAGACCATCTCTTCCTATACAAAGCTTTCTAGAACCAGCCAAAGCTGCAGTGCACCTTCAGCCTGCTCATTTTTCTGTCTTTCCCTTTACTCTGTGATCTTGAGCATATACAAAAGCAACTCAAGTCTTTCAAAATTAAAATACTAAGAATCTATCCAGTAGCAAGTATGAGCACCTTTCTTGTCTGTTTCTCCAGGGCAGGGCCTGGCACAGTACCTGGCATACACGAGATGCTCAACGGGTACCTCCATAAATGGTGACTGCACAGATGAATGTGTGGTTTTCCCTTACCTCTGGCAGGGAAGTCACTCACACTGTGGAAGGCCCTAGAGACCCAGCCCTTTCAGAAGTTAGCTGGGAACACCTGGGAGCTGAGCAGATGGGCTGGGAAGTCATTCCAAAGGGAGCTGGCAGAGCCAAATCCTGAGTGCTGTACACAGTGCATTCTGGCCAGCATCGCTCAGTAGGCAAGAAAAGGCAAAGGACCAGAAAGAAAAGGGGGGAGGGGCTTCTCACTCCATGGAGTGATCATCCTGGCAGAGATGGCAAACTCAGGGCAGGCCACGGTTTGGGTCTGGAATGTCCCCCAAAGGACCATGGGTTAAAGGCTTGGTGCCCAGCTTGGTGCTGTTGGGAGGTGATGGAACCTTTAAGAAGGGGGCCTAGGAGAAGGCATCAGGCTATTGAGCATATAACCTCAAAGGGGACTGTAGGACCGGTCTCTTCCCCCTGGTCTTCTGCATCTGACTAGTTAACCACAGCACTTGGCTATGCATTCAGGCTGTTAACAGTTTGCTCTACCATGTACTACCCATCACGACGTGCTGCCTCATCATAAGCCCAAAAGCAGTGGGGCCCATCAGCCATGGACTGGAACCTCCAAAACTGTAAATCAAAATACAGCTTTCCTCTATATAATTTGGTTATCTCAGGAATTTTGTTACATTAATGGTTTATTTCTTTGAGACAGAGCCTCACTCTATAGACCAGGCTGGCCTCGAACTTGTGGTAACCGTCATGTCTCAAATTCCCAAGTGCTAAGATTACAGGTGTGAGCCACCACTTGTTACAGTGCCTGGCACACATGGTCACAGCAATAGCAAGCTGGGAAACACACAGCGTAACTGTCTCCTCCCCTGCCGTGCCTGTACCAGCCATGGCCAATTCAACTATGCATTTTTGCCCATGATGCCCAACCACAGCTTTAGAAGCTTTCCACAACACTGTCCCCCAGGAGCCCCTGCACCAGGAGGAGTTGAGCCCTATCTGCCATCCCTGGCCAGGCTCCTTGTCAGGCGCTTGGCTATGCACTTGAGACTTCAGGGGGCAAGTACAGCAACAGATACTCATGCAGCACTCAGTCCTGAGCCACCCCCAGCACACAAGCAGCCACCAAGATGGGAGTGAAGCCACCTTCCCTTCAATGGCTGCTTCAGTGTGAGATTTAACCAGGAGCCCTACATCTGGTTCACGCAGAGATCAGTCTTTTACATTTTGAACAGGGTGTGGCTCCCACCCAGCACTTACTCAACAATCACATCAGGGGCATGGACCAGACGCTGCACACCGCCCCACGTTTGGTACACAATCGGAAATGGCACAGGTGAGCTGCCTGTTCTCACGGGGTTTAGGGAGACAGGTTACAGTCGAGTGAGCAGTAAACACGTGCACAAATGGCTACCCACAGGTTCCAACAAGTGCGAAGAAAATAATGGTGATACGAAAGAGAAGGTGGCAAGTGGGCTGCAACCTACAGAGCTAGAAGTGCGAAGGAGGCAAGGAAGCAGCCCTGGAAGAACAGGTGATGAGCCCGGTGCAGGGCTGACGGTGACCGGATTGCGAGGGCACTAACCAGACCCATGGGCGAGTGCATGGCTGAGTGTGCTACAAGGAGGCAGGGACGAGTGTGGGGTGGGGGAGCAGGTCCCTGGGGGCACGCCTCTGCAGAGTGACCTTTCTTCAGGTTCATCCGATCTGATTCCTGGCTGCCATGATGCAAGGAGCTACCCTCTGCCATGTCCTTCCTGATGTTTCTAATTTGGAGCTAGGTGACCAGACTGAAACCTCTGAAACCATGAACCCAGATCAGTCTTTCTCATTTAAGTAACTTATGTCAGGTGTTTTATACCAGCAATGGAAAGCTGACTAATACAAGAGTACAGCATATACAAAGGCCCTGAGGTGGAAAAGAGTCCGGCAGGTCTGAAGATTAGAAAAGAAAACAAAGACAGTCCAAGAGGTGTGGGCCCTTGCAGGGCCTATGGAAGGTGGTAGACCTGTCCCATGTTGCGCGTGACAGTTTATACCCACGTGTTCTCAATCAGCTGTTCCAGGTCCTGGACCTTGTGGCTCAGCTCCTCAGCCGGTGGAAAGCTCTTCCCTACCTTCATGAAGAGAGCTGCGATCTTATTGCTGCGCAGAAAGCCAGCTGCCCGCCGACGCAGCCCATGCAGGATACAGGCTTCCACTGCCGCTGTGGGAACATGGGAGTCAGCAGGCCGTCCTGTCCACACCCCACAGCACCTGTGTGGCTCAGACCCTTGATCTGCGGGTCTCCCAGAATTGGTGCGTTCAGGTCAACATCACAGTGAAAAAACATGCCTCCCCGCCACCTGCCACGCTCTTCAGGGGAGGCGAGAGAGCGCAGCGGTTATCCTGTAGCTGTGGCCCAGGTCTACACCATCTCTGTTCACATCCTTGGCCGGCTACTAACCAGCTGCGTGACTGTGGCAACGACTGGCCCTCTCTGGGCTTTGGCATTCGCATCTGTGAAAAGGGGATTCTGGTAGGACAGCTGGAAATTCCTAAGTACTAGGAAGAGCCTTGCAAACAGTGGCTGCTTAAGAATGTCTATTGTTTCTGTCAGAGGGAGAGGAGACTGGACTGCTGACTGCTGAGGTTCATCGGGTTAAGGAACTGCATCATCATCCTCACTGTGATTCCACCACAACTAAAATCTATGGGTGTCATTTAATGTCATGTCCAGCAAGTAAGGAAAATATCCCCACTTCTCCCAAGCGGACCGAGGCTCTGGAAGGCAATCTGAACTGCTCCAGGCCACCCACAGTCCGAGTCCAGGGATGTGCCACGTGTCACACCTGCGTTTCCACAAAGGCCCCGGGAAGGACTGCAGTGGTCTCATCTGTGTTTCCCTTGGAAACCCTGCCCACAGCAGGATCATCTGGGTTTAGGCTGGGGCTCTCCTGTCACTTTGCTGAGTGACCTCAGGTGAGTCACTTTCCCTCTCGAGGCTTAAACGTGCCCTTCTAGGAAGCTGGCCCTGCTCAAACCGTGCTGAGGCCCCCCTCCCAGTCCTTGTGCTTCTGGGGGCCCTCTATCTTACCTACTGCATATTGCGGTGTGAGTATGCAATAGGTGCATAACCCATGTTTACTGAAAAAGTATAGCATAAGCTATTCCTTATTTGGCACCTGCTGTGTATCCATTAAGTTACAAGATTTGCCTCACCTAATTCTTGCTATAGAACCCATGATGGAAGAGCTCTAGTCATCACCATTCACAGAACAAATGAGCCAAGCCACCCTCAAGGTGAACGCTCGGTCTCGGTTATGTGTTAACTGCAGCATGCTTTGGGCTGTCTGTCTTTCCTTGAGTAAGCCATTACTTGGTTTTGAGTGAAAGTCTAAAAACTGATTCATCTGCCCATACATTTAAAATATTATGGGTGAGGTTCTCTTAAAAATCTTTTTTTCCCCGTGGTGGTGGTGGTGGTGGTACTGGGGAATGAACCCAGGGCCTTCACGATGAGCTACATTCCCAACCCATTTTTCAGTTTTTGTTTTTTTTCCTGGTACTGGTGACTGAACTCAGGACCTTGCACGTTCATGGCAGGTGTGGCTCCACTGAGCTAAATCCCCTAGTTTTCTTCATTTTGAGACAGGGTCTAAGTTGATTAAGCTGTGGTCCAACTTGCACTCCTCCTGCCTCTGGCTCCAAAGTAGCTGGAATTATAAGTGTGTGTGGCTTTAATTTATATATACACAGTACTTTTTATTTTTTTAATCTCCTCTTCAGGCTTCGTACACATTGTCTGATTCTTCAGGACAATGACACTAAAGGACAACGGATAAAAGAAACATCAGTGGGATTCTTTAGGTCTCATTTAGTGCTATTCAATTTCTCCTACCCAAAAGATCAGAGTTAGGGAACTATTATATATCTTTTTATTCCTTTAAGACTTTAATTAATAAGTATGTTAGCAAGTTTTGATATGAACATGATTTTATTTGCAAATAAAATGTCCAGGAGAAAATAAAGCACCATATACATAATCAAACACATTTGTAAAAATATGTATTATAGGTATATACTTATATAAACATAAAACATATATTTATACGCTGTACACATACGTGTGTGTGTGTGTGTGTGTGTGTATGCGCCTGGCTGCAAATGGGGTGAACTGAGATTCTGGCCCCAGAGTCACAATGTGCTCAGCATGTGGGCCCCAGGTGGTGACAGCACAGCTGTCTGGATGGAAGCTGGTGGTGAGCCAGGTGTCCTTGCTCAGGTGGCTCCATGGGGCCAAGGCCACAGAAGGGGAATTAGAGCATGTTCTTCACCATCAGACACTCCAATTACAAAGTGTTTCAGAGAGCAGGAAAGAATACTTCCACGCATGGATAGGGATACACAGACTATGAGCTCAATGCTGACCTCAGATACACGCAAAACGCTTCTCTAGCTGCTGTCAAATTACAGTGGGACCCAGCAGCGTGGGCCTCTCTGGCCCTTACGACAGAGCTGTGCAAAGTGGACTGTGACTCACACTCTGAGCCCCACCGTCTCCCGTGCTGAGCCAGCTGCTGGGGCCCCTCAGGATGCATCAGGGTTTTATTTTCTTCTTCTCATTAAGCATCTACATCTCTCCCTTTATCTAGTGCTCATCACAGACAAAGCAAGAAAAAGACACAGGTCATTTTCCAGAGGCAAGACCACCTGTGCTTAAGGTGCGGGTATCCCGAACCGAGCCCATAAGGGGGCAAGGCAATCCCCCATGATGTCTTTGTTCACTGTGTCTTGTACTCTGTTGTGCTTCAAACGTTTTTCCCAATAGAGTCCCTTTGGGATCCCAGAATAACTTCCATGTCACGCAGTGAAAACACTACGTAAGAGCCCTGGCTCAGAGATGAACCTTCCCTGAGGCAGCACCTCAGGGGTTCCGAGAAGGAACCACTTTCCGAGGCCTGGCTGGGCCACAGACTCACCACAGAAGGAGATGATGTGGCTGCTGTCTTCATGGACAAACTTGCGTGTGACAGCCTCTTCCATGATCTGCTTTACCTAGAAGGCAGAGGCAGGGGAGAGGGGCACCAAAGTGGCCAGGGGTGCACACCAGCCGTGCTGCCCCTCAGAGCCTTGTTAGGCTGTGCGGGTACCTGGCCTCTGTCCCATCTTCATCACCTGTCATCGGCAGGTCTGAGGCTTATCTAGTTACGTGCTTCCCGCTTCCCTCTTAATTTGTTCAGGCTTTTTGCATACAGTGGCTGCTACGGTACATGGATGGCAGCTACTTCTCAAATGCCACCCAGAATGGCCTTCCCTGACCACAGCGACTAAGGCAGCCTCATCTTGTCCCCAGCCTGGCCCCTTCAGAGAACTCCCCGCCGCTTTTGTTCTATCTTCACTGCCTTACTCCTGCATCCTCCTAAAATATAAATCCTGAGGGCAGAAACCCACCTGCCTTGTTTACTGTGTCGGACACATACTCGGTGCTGAACAGTTCCTCAATGAGTGAGTCAGTAAAGGAATCAGGATGGCACTATATAGAAAATCAGCTGTGGAAGTGGGCCAACGTGGGTCCCCTGCTGGGACACCTGCCAAATGGACTTAGAAAGTGGATTTGGGAAATGGAAGCTCAGCATGGTTGAACAACTTGTCCAGTGAGGCAGAGCTGGCCCAGAGAAGGACAATCCCAGCTTGGATCTGACACCCGGGCTGTTTGTTTCCTCAGTAGACAAACTCACTCAATAGTACTGAGTGCCTCCAAGTATGCCAAGCCTAGGGGACACAGCGGGAAAGGGTAGCCAAGGCTCTGTTCACAGAGGTGACCCTCTACTGGCCTGGACACCTGTCTGTCTCACTGGATTTTGGATCCTGCCTGCCCAGTCATCGTGGGACTCAGGCAGATCCCTTCTCTCTGGTCCTTAGTAACCACAGACTGAGGCGAATGAAAGAGATGATTCAAAGGTCTGTCTCAGCTCTGCACCATGAGGACCTAATGAGGGGTCAAGGGAGCAAGGTCCCGACTCACCCCATCCAGTGGGTGACCTGCCTGCTCTTCTGGGCCCGTCCAGACTCAGTGCACCCAGGCCACTGTCTCAGTGCAATCCCATCGCTCCTCTCCCCCTCCCTTCCAACTGCCTCTCAGCGATGAAGACAGAGCTCAAAGCATCCCTGGCCACATTCTCTGGAGAATGAGGCACTCTCACTCAGCTGGCACTCAGCCCTACACCATCCACGTCAGCACCAGGCCTGTGAACAGCTCCAGACCACCCAGCTCAGCAAGCTCAAGCTGGGCTCTGCCAGCAGCATTCAGAAGTCAGAAAAATGTCTCGCGAAGACCACGGAATGGGCTCCATTTTACAGATGTGGAAACTGAGACTCAGAAAGGTGAGCTGGTAAGCCAAAGTAAAACTCCCCCTCTTTATTTTGACTTCCTTGGGTCTTTTGTTACAGTCATAGAAACTAACATTGGAAATGAGATCACTGATAAGGAATTAATTTCTGGAATATATGACTAAATTCTATAATTCAAAAATAATTTGATCAAAAGTAGCCAGATAGCTGGGAGTGGTGGTGCACACCTGTAATCCCAGCACTCAGGAGGCTGAGGCAGGAGGATCGCTGTGAGTTCAAGACCAGCCTGGGCTACATAGTGAGTTCCAGGTCAGTCTCAACTACACAGTGAGACCCTGTCTCAAAAAACCAAAAATGAAAAAAAAAAAAAAGCCAGATAATTTGAACAGGCATTTGCCTGGAGATACACAAATGAAAAATGAACACGTGAAAAAGATGTTCACATAATCATTAGGAAATGAAAATCAAAACCACAAAGAGATCTACCTCAAACCTTGTAGGATGACTACTCTCAAGAAACAAAAATTAAGCTTGTCAGGGACATGGAGAAATAGGACCCTGGTATACTGCTGGTGGGAATACACAATGATGCAGTTGTGACCATAAACAGTATGGAGGTCCTCAAAACATTCAAACATAGACTTATTATAGAATCCAGCAAGTCCACCTATGGACACACCCCCCAAGGGACTGAGAGCAAGGTTTCAAACTGGTAGCTATATACTGGCACTTTAGAGCCACATTATTTGCAATAACTAAAGAAAGGGTGGAAACAAGCACAGTGCTGATGGAGGGATAAGAAAATGTGGTTCTTCCATACAAATGGGCATTATTCTGCCTTAAAGAGGAAGAAAACCCTAACAGATGCTAACGCACAGATGAAACCTGAGACACTGTGCTCAGTCACACGAGGACAACTGCCGTGATTCCACTTCTATGAGGTACCCAGAGTGGTCAGATCAGAGACAGAAAACAGAACGGTGAGTGCCAGCGGCTGCGGCAAAAAGATGAGGCACGACTGTTGGGTGGGGTCACAGGCGTGGGAGCTGGGGTCGCACGTGGGCAGTGGCACGGGTGTACCGAGTCTGGACGGGCCACAGGAGAGCAGGCAGGTCGCCCACTGGTGGGGTCAGTCGGGACCTTGCTCCCTTGACTCCTCATTCACAAAGCTCTCTCCTGCTTGTCTCACCCCGCTGGATCATCACAGCAGCTTCAAGATAGTACTCTCTCCATGACAGAGGAGGGGAATGGGCCTCTGAGCAAGGGGCTGCTCACCAGGATGTTCCAAAGCCTGGAACTCCTACATCACAGGAGCAAGGGCAGCCACTGTGCTGTAAAGACCTGAAAAGTAAACTTTTTCTGCCTTGTGGATGATATGGTCTTGTCAACTACTCAGCACAGCCCTTTTATTACTGTGAAAGCAGCCACACACAATATGTAAACGAACGGGCATGGGTGAGTTTCAATAAAGCTTTGCTCATAAGAACAATAGTACGGCCAGACTTGACTATGGGCAACTGTCCGCTGACAAAAATGTGATGCTCTGCTGGGCTGATCCACTTTGCATCATGGCCCAGCCTGCCTAGCCAAGTGGCCAGCTTTCAGGGTCTGTGCTAATGTGGCCCGCTCCACCACCACCACCCAAAACAGGCCTCAGCCCTTCCCAGTGAATGCTGCTTTCTTTGACAGGTTGTTGTCTTCTAACCAATGTCCCCCTGCTCCTTGGAGGCAGCCATCTATCTGCCTGTCACCCCTGGAGAGGCTCTGATGCAGGGCTTTTTGCTGGCTGCCTGTGTCCTCCCTATACAAACATGAAGAATGCTGGGCATGTCCCCAAATTTCTCCCGGAGCTCAGGAATGAGGGCAGCAGTCAGCCTTGTTAAACTGTCTCTGTCACCAACTAGCAGGTGCCCTCAGGCTGGCACGGGCCCTCACGGTCTGTTTACCCCTCTGGCTTCAAAGAGCTAGCCGCCCAGCCCCCACTTCTGTGGGTATCTTCGCCTCCTTCCAGCCTTTCCTTATCATCCGTCTTCCACCTCTGGGAATAAGATCCTGAAATCCTTCGTCTTCCCCGAGAGGGGCTGAGCTATCTCCCTTCTCCAAAATTCGTATGTTGGAGCCTTAACACCTAGTAGTTCAGAATGTGACAGTATTTGGATCTTTACAGAAGTTAAGTTAAAATGAAGTCATTAAAATGGGCCCTAACCCAACATGATTGGGGTCCTCAGAAGAAGAGGAAATTTAGACAGTCACATGTAAAGAGAAGAGACTGTGAAAACACAGAACAGCCATCCACAGGCCAAGAAGAGAGGTCAGAGCATTCAGTCCCTCACTGCTAGCAGAAGGAACGAAACCTCATCGGCTGATCTTGATCTCAGACCTTCAGCCTCTGAACCATGACAGAATACATTTGTGGTTTAAGCTGCCCAGCCTGTGTACCTCTAAACAGCAGCCTTCGCAGACTCATACACCCACCATGAGCACTGTTACTAGCATCATCCTCATGCCTCTGGGAGAGCAGCTGGACACACTCAGTTGCCACTACTGGGGGACAAGGGCTGGCTTCATGTGCAGAGCCTCTTCTAGGTCTCAGTCCTTCCCAGATGATCCATACCCAAGGTTCGGTGCTTGTTGGGTGTAAAGATGCTGCTGTATCTGTGTCTCTGCTCAGGACAGCTGAGGAGTTTTTCCAGCCACCCACAGGCCAACCCACAGGGTTTCTAAGGAGACTACATGGTGCTCGACATCCCCCTCTGCACATCCCCGCTGGGTGTAGGCCTTCTATGCCTCCTCAGCCTCCTGCGTGCCAACCACATCTCCATCCAGGACTGCTAAGCAGCAGTGTTGACAGGCTGGAGCGCAAGTCAGGAAAGTCCAGGTGCAAGTGCCCCTGAATTCAGCTGGGCAGGCGGCAGAGGTCGGCCTCTTATCAGATCTTGGATACCAATTTCCAGGTATGGGTAGTGACACAGATGGAGTCACCATTCTGAGCTGGAGGGGCTTTCAGTTCAACGATCCAGGGTTGGATGAGGTAAAAGAAGTGCAGGGAAGTGCTGTGCAGTAGCCAGAGCTGCTCAGCTTGTGGTCCTGCAGTGTTCGCCTCACCTGGGCCAGGTGAGAATGCAAATTCTTAGCCCCGAGACTACTCCATCTGAAATGGTGGGGTGTACATCCAGCCTTTCAGGTGACTCCTGCACATGCTTAAGAGAATCTGAAGGGAAGGAAAAGGACACAGAGGACCTGGAGGACAAATGGGTGGATATAAAGTCAGGAGTGTCTCGAGCTTCTTTCGGAAGGGACTTAAGTAAGCAGAGCTCTTGTCCAGGACCTCTCCACATAGAGCTAGGCCCCTTCTGGTAATTCTCACCCACTCCTTTCAGACTTAAGGGTGTTAGCAGCTCCTGGCTCCCCACTGTTAACTAGCCATGGGGTGCTACATCCTGCCTTAGGGACTCCTAGCATCCTTCCTCTACTGTAGTCAATACTGCCTTTATTAAATTCGCCTTCCTGCACTCAGTTTGGGGAAAGTATTTCCTATCAGTTTCCTAACTGTATACACAAGCTGACTCAAGTCCAATCCCTGCAGAGTGGTTTGTGTTTATGGCTGTGGATCTGGAGACTCAGAGAAGCTGAGCCCTTCTCCCCAGGTCACACAGCTGGGAAGATGGCAGCAGTGAGGAGCCTGCTGCTATCTGGCTTCAAACTGCTCATCCTGGGAGCGGATCTGGGACGGGGTGAGGGATGGAGACGGAGATGCAGCACCAAGGGTGGGTGCAGGGGAGAACCCCTCTCCACCTGCACTGGCTCCTAGCAACTGGCTAGACTTTCCTACCCGAAGTTAATAACAGGCTGCCAGCCCGAGGCCAGGAGAGGAAATTAAAATGGCTGGTCACAAGCAACGGGGGTGGCAGCCTCCCACACACAGAAGAGGCTCTTGCAGACTGGACACTGTTTCCGTGCAGGAAGAAAGAGGCTGCTGCTTACTCTGAGGAGGAGCCCACATGGGGATGGACCAGACTAGATGGCAGAGGCAAAGGGCCTAGGGCCTGGGAAGATCCAAAATCTAGCTTACTTACTCTCATCCTCTCAGGCTCCCAAGAGTGGGCTTAGATTTTGTCCACTTTGGACAATGCAGATCAGAAGGACCTGGGTGGTTTGGGAACAGTGACAGTGGCATGATTTCCTGGTTTGTTGTAACCTGAGTGTTATTTCTAAGCTTCAACCCAGGAATCCTGCCAAGCTCCAGGAGCAGAAGAGCGGTGACACACTTCCGAGCCTCAGAGACCTGCGACTCTCACCCCAGCCAGGTCACATCGCTGGCACCTCGGTGTGCTCTTCTATGAAGCGGGTCCTTTGGGGCTGCAGTGAGGCTCCGTGGGTATAAATGTGAACAGGCCAGCAGTGCTCGCACACAGGATTTTATGATGACAAAGGTTACTACCTTTTGACCATTCTCTGCATTCCAGGGATTATGTATAAGCATAACAATCCTAATAATGAGCTGCCAAATTATCTCACTTCACAAGAGGAGAAACTGAGGCACAGTTTGTTTTTAAAGATAACCTGCCGAAGGTCATGCAGATGCAGCAGGAAACAGATCCAGGGCCCCTGTCTCACAGAAGCCAAAGGCCGTTTCAAGCCAAATGCTTCTGCTATTCCCTAGCAGAAGGGGAGAGAGAAGGCTTACTCAGCACCTACTATGAGCCAGGTGCTAGGGACAGAATACTCACTCAATCGCCTTGAGAATATTACTACCCTCATTCTAAATATGCCCAGGACTGGCAGTGCAGCTCAGGGCTGGAGCATGTGGTTGGTTCAGGAAAACACCTGAGTCTGACTCACAATACCACCACCCCACAAACAAACAAACAAACACAAACAAAAACAACAAAACAAAGTACGAACTGAAGCTTAGAGGGCCTATGCAGTTTTCCCAGTCACACAATCAAGAAAAGGCACAGGAGGTACTTAAACCTAGGCTTTTCCAAAGTCCTGACTTACAACTTTGCCTCCACCCCCAGTCAGTCATCTGGATAACCAAAGTGCTGGGAAACTTGTAAGAAGGGAGCCCTCAGGCCACCCCAACTTGGGGTCTCAGAAATACTGAGACCAGGGTTGTCATGACAAGACTGCCAACTCATCTCATGGTGTCTTTCAGCAGAAGGAGGGGTCTCAGAGGTCAGAGTGGTCAGGAAGCTTTTACCCCTCTCTGGAGTCCACTCTAAGGGGACCTGCATCATCAGCTTGCATTCCTCCAATGATGGGGAGCTCACTCCTTCAGAATCAGTTAATTACTTAAAGGACAGGGTATCAGGAGGCAGCTGAGAGGCTAAGGGCCCAGAAGTTCTGGCACCGGGTAGAACCTGTAAGATGGGGTAGATGACAACAACATCTCGACTTACTGAGATGTGAAGAGTGCCTGAAGCGCAGAAGACTCTACAAATGGCTGCAATCCTGAGAAGACAAGGAGTATCCCACCCTGGTCCACAGTGGTGCTCATGGGCATTAGTAGTTGGCCAGCTGCCAGGGAGCCCTTCAGTGCTAGGCCACCTTCCCAGAGCTCCTGCCTGTAGGACAGCTAGGGCCCAGCTGGCTTCCTCTGTGTCCAGCCTCTAAGCACCTGGCCCACCCCTCCCAGCCCCACCCTGCCTCCGTTTGGAGACCAGCCCCCCATCTTCTTCCACATGGAAATATTTAAACAGCATGAAAGGAGAATTAATTTGAGGAAGGAGTGAGGGCAGGGAGGGAAATCAGGACCAGTCTGTGAAGCCAGAAAGGGGTTCCCAGGGCTCCAGGGCCTGCCCCTTCTTCTCCCCTCCTCACACCTACCTACTACCAGCCCGCATGAAGTACCCTCATGCCCACCTGAGACCTGCCACCTCACCAATCACCTCACTGTGCCTCCCTGCCTCTCCACACCAGGCTGTTTACTCTTCTATGTCCCAGATGGGACTGGCACGCCCCACCATTCAGAGTTGTCATAAGGATTAAGGAAAATGCAAGCAGAGGGCTACCAACAGGACTCAGTACACAGCTGGCACCAAATCCAGGAGGTGCTCTAGGGACACAAATAGGATCATGCAAAGCCAAGCTTTGACATTTGTGGGGTGACCCTAGGGCTCACTTTTCTCACTGAGAAAAAGGGATGGTACCACACCACCTTCAAGGGCTGCAGTGCATGACGTCAGTGAGTCATAAGATGCATTTTCCAAGCAGCCAGGCATGTTTTGGGTCAGTGGGAGCCCCCAGATACCGTCTCCCACCCTTTCATTCAGGACCCATTCACGTCCTTCCTCAGGGGGGCTTGCTGAGCAGCCTGTCTGGCGTGCCACTGCTACCCCTTCTACTCTGCTTGTCCTTTCCCTTAGGACTTAATATGCTGACACCTCTACACAGCTCTGGGTTTACCTGTCTAATGCCCATCTCCTCCCATGAACACCTCAACCTACCACAGGAGGTGTTCCATATACGTTGGTGAGCCATGCTGATTACACTAACAACAGCAGCTAATGCTTAGGGAGCTCTGGCCAGGCAGTGTCCGAGCTCCTTTCCTTCCTAATCATACTGACATGTGTAAGGCCACAGCCAGCAGCTTACCTATAAAAGATCAGATAGCGAATCTTTCAGGGTTTGGAGTAGGACGGTCAGAGAAAATATAGGATGGCTGTAAATCTAAATTCCAGTCTAAGAAAGAGCCATTGTTAGTAAAAGTATGTCTGCAATATTACATGGGGCACTGGCTGTTTCTCTAATTCAAATTTAACTGGGCATTCTGAATTATTTGCTATATCTGGCAATTTATTTTTATTTGTTGAATTGTGCAAAGCTATATACAGGCCACACACAGTTTAGGTCACACTGTCTCTTTTGTGTTCACAACCCTTTCAAAACATAAAAAAATAAAAACAAAAATATTCTCAGCTTAAAGGAAGACACAGGTTGGATTGAGTCCATAGGGATGCCTGGTTAGAAGTACTGAAGGCTGCTGGTACTCAGGAAGGAGGCCTCAACTAAAGTCACCCAAGCTGTGCCCTGCTCCTCCAGGCCACTACTTCCATTACACTCAGGTCACTGCCCTATGCCCCACCTGGGTCTCAGGCAGCTGGCACCTGGCAGAAGTGTGAAAGGACAGAAGGTCAGCAAGGCTGAGCCAGTGCCCTATCTAAGGGATGTAGCCCCAGATGCCTTGACTCTTTATCTATAAGAAACTAGAGGAGAACAGGATGGCTAAACTGGGACCGAGAAGGCTCTCCAGAGTGGCATTAAAAGTAACTCACAGCATGTGGGACAAGTGGTGGGGGTGACTTAAAGACCCCTTGGCAACCACTCTGCCTGCTCGAAGACACCTCAAGTCCTCAGGACTGGGTACAGACCCCTTCCTAGGCTGGGATCTCGGTCCACTAACTCTCAGACCAGGTTCCCAAAGGTAGCATCACTATGGCTCCTCTCTCTTGCCTTCAACCAGGTGCCCCTCCCTGATGCTCCAGCTGGCTACTCATGTTGCAAACTTCAGCCAAGAC